CCAGTTGAAGCCAAGGAAATCCACCACAATCTTCCTTCCAACTGTGTCATTCAGCGTTTGCTGTAGATATAGCCTGAATTGTCCAAGAGAGAAAGCAGAAATCAAGTATTAAGCTTTTCATGAACACAGACATACACTGTATCTTCAGAAAGATTTCAAAATGGAGAAGTACTTCCTAGAAATTCTGTTCTACCACTACAAAGCTTCAACACCTGTGGAAGGAAATAGTTTCAGAAAGTTCCCAAATTTTGCTGTACGGTTTCCCAGTACAGAAGAGAACAGATCTCAGTTCCACTTGAACAATTACAAGGGAAAAACATAGTTTTAAGGAAAAACAACCCTCTCACAGGGCAGGAGGAAGGAACTTTAAACAGACTGGCCATTATCAAATATGTTCATGTCTAATCCCTAGATGAATACCACCCCTCTAACTCATCTGCAATATCAGTTACCTCCCGTAGCAGAACTACATTAGGGCAAAAGAGGGCTCAGGAGTGCCTGGACATTTCAGTATCAGGTTACTTAAAGCCATGTTTACATTTCGATATAGAGGATCAGAGGAATCAAGCATCTGTACCAACAGTCACAGTATTACAGACTGCTGTCTGCAATGCTGAAAAAAAAAACAACGCATTTTTAAGAGCAAGGACTGCCTTCTCTCTTGGAAAAAGCACACCCAAAGCTACGAAAGAAGAGAAAGGCACAGATGACAAGTGGGCATGGGTACAGTGTTGCCTCCAATTAAGACACAATTAAGCATCAAAGTAAGCTCTTTTAGAGGCCGGTGACTGAAAACACTAAAGGTTTAAGTACAGCTGCTGACAGTTATATTCCATGTCCACTTGAAGCTCCTCTCAGTAACTTACAGCTCTGTTAGTGGCACAGGCCATCACCACTAGTACACAGCAAAACCTGACCTCGTATTTCCCAAAGAGGGTTAGCTCCAGCTGCCTTGGCATTCTAAGGGAAAGCTTGAATGCTGTAAGCCTGTACCTCTTCATCAGACAACAAGCTTCTCTAGCAATACCACAGTCTATAAAAAAAAAACCTGAGGCTTAATTCTTTCTCTATACAAACCCTGCCTCACATAGAGGAGGAAATAAATAAATAAATTCCCACAGTCAGTGTGAGCAGTTTGTTTGGTATGACTTTTCTAATAAGGTAAAAAGGCTGCTGTCAACTAGAAACCCTGCAGGAAAAGCAGGATTATTAAAATGAAACAAACAAAAAGTCCAAAAAGTTCAAGACACTTTAATCATCAACACCCACTGAAGAGAAAGTTAGCTCCTACTTAAGTCAGAAGAAAGAGAGAAGCCTCCACACTCCACATATAACTTACCTCTCAGCCCCCCCTTTTTGTTGTATTTCTTTGAGTCTGTCGACAAACTCGGCAAACTTCATTTCTTCCCTACTTGACTTGGGTTTGAAGTTCTTAAAATTGGCCATTTTCTTCTCATCGTAGTACAAAAACTTGTGTGTGCTGGCACTATACACTGAGAAGTCCCCATTGCCAATGTTTTCCTGGAGGTAGTCCAGGTCCCATTTCAGAGCAGGATAAACCAGATTCGTATCTGTCAGCACCACTGGCTCCTGGAGAGAAACAGGAAGTTTATTGATTCAAAGACCTCTTGAACTTAAGAAGGAACACATTCAACACTGCACCCACAAAAACTCCCTTTCAAAATGGGGAATTGGAAAAGACATTTGATGTACTCATATGCCTTGATCTGAGGAGAATACCGAGCAAGACATGATAGTTTTAAGAAGTTTTAAGAAGGTGGGGGCCTGGGGTTGCAGTAAGCTCCTGGTAGGAATGGGACAGATTGCACTATCTACTCAGCCAATCTCTGTCAGCGAGGTTAGACAAACACCAGCTGGCAACACTTCTGGGCCTGTTTGGTCCTGCCACGTAGCCAGGAGACACAGTAGATTCTGGCTGGTCACTTCCAGCCTCAGCTGTGAAAGGGTAAATGCTAGCCAAAAGATCCCTCTGAATTCATAAACATCTCTTTTCTCAGAGGACTGAAAATAACCAGCCATCAAAATACTGACCATCTCTTCTACAGCAAAGAAAACACAAACATTACAAAAGGATGACAAAGGACATCGCCTATCTCCTCATCTACCAATAGTAAGCAACCTAAGCAAGGCAGTGCTGCGTTCCCAAGTTGTGCATACACAACTTCCCTTCTTGCAGACTTTCCTTAAAAAACCCAACCACCAAACCTACCAAAATGAGACCGAGCTGGTACACAACCAATACAAGAACCACCACTGCAAGGGAACCTTTAAATCTGTGGTCGCTCGCACTTAGAAAACACTATGTGCGCAGGGCTTTACACAACGTTCTCACAACTTCCATCCCGACAACAAAGCGCTTAAAACAAACGTTTCCTGCGAATTTCACAACTCAACGCTGTAACACCGAAGAAAAATATCCACTACAGCAGACAGGAGCGGGATAGTGGCTATTACGGAGTCCGCCCGGTACCCCGGACGGACAGGGCCGGGATGAGGGGGTGTCTGCGCCCGGGACCCCCCTCACCTCGTTCTCGATGAGTTCCTCGGCGCGGGGGTCGCTGTGGCTGAGCCGAGGGATGGGCCGCGTCTCGAAGGAGTAGCGGCGGAACTGGGAGTCGCTCCAGCCAGGCCCTGCCGCCACAGCCGGGCCCTCCCGGCAGCCCGCGGCCGCCGCCGAGGAGGAGCAGGAGGAAGAGGAGGAGGAAGAAGAAGAAGAGGAGGAAGAGGAGGACGAGGCTGCCGCCATCGCCGCCTCCACCGGAGAGCCCGTACCAAGGAAGCCGGAAGCGGAAGCTGCGCACCCATGGCAACGCCGGAAGCGGAGGGCGAAGGCGGAGGGCAGAGGACCATAGAGAGGGAGGGACAGAAGCGGCGGCGGCGACAGCGCCCCCGCGCGGGCGGAGGCTGCAGGGGCTCCGCTGCCCTTCGCCTGCTGCCCCTTTCCAAGGCTCTCGGCCGCCCCTGGGAGCTGGGAACACCCGCTGCAGAAATCAGAAAGAAAGGATCGGATCGTCTCTGCAGCCTCATTCCCGGGCCCCGTGCCGCCCCGCGTGCCTTCAGCCCCTTCCCCTCAAAGGCGGCGGAGCGAGCGCAAGCGCTGCCCCCGGACATTTCCATTGCCCTGACGGAAACAGCGCTGCCCGCTGCCTCAGTCTGCCCTCGGGAAATGAACGTACTGCGGAGTTCTACGCCTGCAAACGAGCAGGTTAATTAACGCTTGCTACAAAAAAAAAAAAAAAAAAAGGTAGCACTGACTGCCTGGTGTAACCAACACCCAGCCTGTGAGGGCGACTACATCATTTTAGCAGGATTTCATGAACTGTGTGACTGAGGCTGGAGCTATTGAATTATTTTCTTACTGTATGTTTATTATGTGAGACGAAGTCTACATTTGGCTTTTAATTTGCAAACAGCGAGAATGATGATCGCTATTTCCCAAGAATGCGTGCCACATTAGGCATCAGCTCTGGAGAAAATTTTGGTCACTGGCATTCAGTGGTTTCCATCTTACAGTAGCTGGGATTTGTTATGCCTGCACAGAGCTTTGCCTTTGTGAGAATAATGCAATATGAATGCCCTCTCATCTTCTAAATCTACAGCATTTCTGCTGTACAGGTTAGCAACATTTTTTACGGTGTATTTGCAAATATATTTGGGTGCTTAGGAAAGTTGAAACATAGCTGTGGAAAACTCAAACATACTTCAGAAAATGAAGCTGATGTAAGAAGTAGCTGACCACAATCCAAGCCTGCAGTGAGGCCTGGGCCCAAGTCAATGGGAACCTGGGTCACCACTTCCAGTGCTGTCCCCAGAGCACTGTGGGCTGTAGAGGTGAGATAGGCACCAAATGCTGCTCCATGGAAAACAGCAGCAGCATCTGCACAGGAAGGTTGGACTCTGAGTTAATAACTTTATTAGATAACTAGTAACTTCACTGCATACTCGTTTGTAAGGGAGTTGGCTGAATTAAGATACCATCCCTAAAATTACATCAGTAGGCCTTTCTCTGGGATAAGTGAAAGGATCCTGTTTTCATCTGCAACAAAGCCCCCCTCTCAGGCATGCTATATCTCAGATATATTTTTGTGGTTCACCACTATCTTCAATTATTAGGTTTAAAATTAATGTTGTTATTAGAAGGAATAGCTTTAATGACAAATTGTCTGTGATAGTTTTTGAGCTGCAAAGGTTTATAATGTAAATCGTTATAGAGACATTACCCATTATGGCTGATGTGAATAACTGAAGGAAAATGAGTTCAACTACCACAGAGTTTACATAATGAAGTAAACTGCAAAATCCTTTAATGCTCATATTGATTTTATTTACAATAATACATTGCTTACATTTGAAAAATCATAATGCTAAATTAATATGTCATTTCTGCTGTCCACCTTCCCCTGGCTCCATGGAGATAAGACGATTACATTTGGGTATTGACTTTAATAATATTGATACTGATACAAAGGCGATTTGCATAACGCCGCCGAGCACAGCATCGATCCGATTGAGCATCGATCCGGCTGCTCCGCAGGAGGCTCCCCGCATCTGGTAGGCAGTTCCTGCCATAAATTCCCATTGCCCCGCTTCAGACGATGTCAGACAGAGCGAAATATCGCACCGATGCCTTTTCCGTCCATTAACCCCGTGTCACTATTACAACACCAGCGGCGATTAATTCCTGCCCCGGCGGGGGCCGGTGCCGGCAGCGGAGGCAGCCCCGGGGCGGCCCCGCCCCACGGACCGCCCCCTCACAGGCCCCGCCCCACGGACCGCCCCCTCACAGGCCCCGCCCCAAGGACCGCCCCCTCACAGGCCCCGCCCCACGGACCGCCCCCGCAGGGCCCGCCCCAAGGACCGCCCCCTCGCAGGCCCCGCCCCAGAGACCGCCCCCTCGCGGGGCCCGCTCGCCCCGCCCCTGCGCGCTGGCCCTTCCCCGCCCATCTCCGCCCCTCCGCTCCTCGGGCGGCCGCGCCTGCGCGCTGGGGGCGATGGCGGCGGGCGCTCTTCGCGGTGTCCTCTGGCCCCGGGCGGCCGCCGGCCTCAGGGCGGCCCGGGCCGCCTTCGCGGCGCCTTTGGGGGCGCGGGCGGGTGAGCGGGGAGGTGGAGGCTGGAGCGAGGGGCCGGCGGCGGGGCCGGGATGTCTGGGGCGGTGGGCCGGTGGTTGCGGGGTCGGGGCTGGAGGACGGCGCGACCTCCTCAGCCTGGCTGTGGCTGCCGGCGGGGCCCGCGCCCATTGTGCCGCGTTGCTCTCCCGCAGCCTCGGAGATGTCCATGGACATGATGCCCGGCCCATATCCGCGGACTCCGGAGGAGCGGGCAGCCGCTGCCAAGAAGTACAACATGCGGGTGGAGGACTATCAGCCCTACCCCGACGACGGCCTCGGGTGAGCTGGGTTGGTGCCGTTGTTCCGCAGCCGGGAGCGGGCCGGGGCCAGGTGATGTAGGCTCGTAGTCCTTGGCGAATGCCTGGTTTTGCTATACTGTGAGCTTAGAGCTTTGAAGACACTTCAGTGTTTTGAAATAGGAACGAATGGAATGGGTTAGAGGCCTGTGTGAATAAAACACGAGAAAATTCATGAGAGATACTTGAGAGACTTCGAGGCTAAGTGGAATTCTAAGTCTATAATAAAGGTTTCAGGAGATATTGAACTGTTGGGAAATACTTCGATATGTGCCAAGATAACTAGGGTTCCATATTTTAGTTAAGCTTGCATTTTCTTTCATCTAGTAGAGCCCAATAAGGCCATTTTGGGGAATGCCATTTGTTACGGTGACTGGTATCAAGGTAATTATTGTTGTGCTAGTTGTTTTAATGCATTTCAAAAATGTATGTGCATAAAAGCTATAAAAGCTTCTTTAGGCCTGTCTTATACTGTCTCCTACAAATTACATCTAAATGAGTACAGATTTCTTTATGTTTGGTCTTTTGTTTGTTTCTCATAGGTATGGTGACTATCCCATGCTCCCTTATAAGTCTCAATATGAGAGAGACCCCTGGTACCAGTGGGACCAGCCAGAAATGAGGCATAACTGGGGAGAGCCGGTAGGAACACCAGTCCCTCTTGTCAATTTGCTTACCAATGGTTTTGTTACTAAATTCTAATATGCACCTCTTGTTAGAGCTTTCTATTGAATCCTTTGTGTAATTTCATCACCAGTGCAGGTGTGTGTTGCCTGTGCAAGCAGGGACAGTCAGTTCAAGGCAAAGTTAGGCTATGGCCATCTGGGTTAATACTGTGAAATTGCTGAGAACAGTTAACTTACTACATATGAGAAGGGAGACTTCACAAACTTAACTTTCCCTGCAGGAGTAATTTTATTTGCCTGGTCGGATTCAGTACGAGAGTCTGGTTCAGAATTGTTTAGCAGAGAAGCCACCATTTGAATGAAGTCCTTTTAGTGCAATGGAAGTAGCTACTTGTGTTGTTACTCTAGGGCTTTTTTGAGGCAGACTTCATATAAGGACGTTCTCTCTAAAGGAAGTTTGCAGCATGTCCTTAAGATAAATGTGAATAGGTCATCTATGTTAACTTTGAAATTCTAAGCTCCTCAAATCCCTTTCAGGAGTAGCTCTTCTCTTAGTGCATGGAGTTTTTGTGAATGACTGCAATCTGACTGCAATTACTGAGCTTGGTAATTGACTTGCAATCTCTTTACTAAAAGCGAGAGTTTATCTAATTATGTGTGCTTAATATATCATAATAAAAGCATGTCAGAGCATTTCAACAAAGTGCATGTTGTAATGACTGTAGAAGCACATGAAAAAAGCCCCATGTTAATTCTGTGTTGTTGTAGTGCTTGCTGCAGGAAGGCTTGTGTACACAAGCGTTTGCACATGGTGTTGGCAATTGGGAATGAAGAGGACTATACTGTTGTATTCCAGGTTTCAGTGGATGCCTCTGTTTAGGCAGCTTTGATTTCTGCTCCTTCTGGCTCTGGGTTTGACAGGAAATGGCTCTGGGGGAAATAGAGCTGAGAATATGGAAGCAGTACTTGAGCTCCAAATTAATGAGTTCTCTGCATTTGTTAATGTGAAGGGTCACTATAGGCAGACCATGCTTGAGACTTTCCTATTTATACTTCAGGGCATTAGCTTGCTGCCAACGTTGCTTTTTCCTGGAGTTACAGCAGCAGGTCCTCTCCCAGTTTTGAGGGACCAGCTTCTGAGTGTCATATAGTTCCCTTGAGAAAAGCAGCTTGACCACTCTTGATAAATGTGCAATTGTTTTCCTTTGTCCTTTAGATGCATTGGGACTTTGACATGTACACTCGGAACCGGGCTGATACATCCCCCACTGTCGTTCCCTGGCACACCATGAGCAAACATTTCTTCCTCTTTCTGGGCACAATGCTGATCATGTTTGGTCTTGGAGCGATCTACCCATCCTACATGCCTGTGGTGAGTGAAACCTAAGGGTAAAGGGAGGAAAAGCAGCTGTATTTCTTGTCATTGCCCATAAGAGTGGTTTTGCTGAAGATGAGTGATGGGTGTGAATGCAAAACTGCTGCTGGCAGTGGATGGGCCAAGGGATGTCCTGTGGCCTCATCTAGCCTGAGTTGTTCTCTTGACTGGCATGACTCAGCTCACAGATGCTGCTTCATAGTGAGCAGTCCCTGTTCACAGGGAACTAATTTGAATTATGCTTCTTACAGTATCCCATCTTTGGTCTAGATATTCTCCTTCCCTGTGTGTGCATCTACTCAAGTGAGATGCTTTAACTCGTCTCTTGCCCTGTGTTGTTAATTATATCTCATGAGCTGTATCATTTGGGAAATGTGCTATTGAAAACTGTATCTGAATATGCAAGCAGCTTTTGCAATATATTATCCACCTGCTGTGAGATAAAACTGTTGATTAAGATTAAAAGCAAGACCATCTTGATGTTTCTGTTAAAAAAAATTATGCAAGGAGCTCCCTATTTCTGAATTTACTTTCCTCATACTCTGATGTTCTAGCTGAAGCACTTAAGAAATAGAAATTTAGGTCATAAATTACAAGCTTTAATTTGGGTGGGGGTGGGATGGGATGAGACGTTTTCCTTTTACTCCTTAATTTGCTTGGTGAACGCGGTGAATTTGCCACTCTTTGTCTCTCCTTGTAGGGGCCGAAGCAATATCCCTTCAATGACCTGTATCTGGAGAAAGGAGGAGACCCCAATAAAAAGCCACCACCGGTGATACACTATGAAATTTGAAAGTTGTTCAAGTGCTACATTTCCATCAGTTTTGCTGGAGAAGGAAGCTTCTTTAGTGTTCACTGGCATATGTTAACACTTGTTCTTCAATGTTCAGCTGCTAATTGCAGTGAAATATATCAATGACACCTACTGTGCTAGTTGTCTTCTGTCAGTTTGAGAGGGCTGAATTATAGCTAATGAAATGGAGTGACATTTGCCATTTTTCTAAGTGGGATAGTATCTGTGGGGCAAAGTTATGAGTACGGACCTAGGACTGCTTGTCATTTATGTATCTTGTGCACAAGTATTCCTCACCTGTGCCTGTTTATGTAGGAAATACTGCCTGTATCCAAGGCATTTGGCATTTGCTTCTGGGAGTTGAACTGGATGTCACCGTATACTGTAAAATGACAGGCAGAAACAGACTGACAGGTGCCAGTCCTTGGGAGTCTTGTACTGTGTCTGTCCTTACTGGGAGCTGACTTTAATCTCTTCCAGGTCTAGATGCCCTCTCAAGTGAAGTCTGCACAACCAATAGGAAGCACTGGTGAGGCACAGAGTCTTGCAGTGTGTAGCTTGAAGCTGACAGCAGAGCTGTGTGGACAGCAGTTGTATGAAAAAGCTAATGAGCAAGTTCAGCTCTGGTCAGATCTGCTTTGATCCAAGTGCACAAGTGCCCATAATTGTTCCTTTATGGCCTGAGTTCATCCACCTGGCCTGGAGTTATATCTGACCCATGAAATCTACCTGTTTTGCTGCAAACCACTGGTCTTGGACTTCCTATAGCTTCAGCAACAGTTTGTTTGGGAAATTACACATACTTGCATATTAAGCTCATAAACTTGTCCAGCTCCACTCTTAACATAGGAGATTTTTTCTTGTTGCTGGAGGAGACAGTACCTTTAGTACTGATTTACAGTGAATCTTCTCTCAACTCTGCCATGCTATGCCTTAACTCCACAGTTTAGTTGCAGGGGTGGGTGATCACAGAAGGTTGAAGGCTTGGGCTGCTCTACGTGCTTCCTATAAACTGGATGCTATGCTCTGCTCTCAGCACCCTGTCACAGCTCAGTTTAGTGCTTTAAGAGAAGCAGGTATATAAAGAGTGATTCATGGTTTTTCCATCTGTACAGATTTTAAACCTCGAATTCTGAACAGATTGTTTGCTTGGTTTTTTGTGTAGGGGTTTTTATAGGGCTATATGTTAAAGGGAATTATGGGATTGAACGCTAGGATGTAGTTTTATTTACACCTAAATATTTGTAACTCCTTTGGAAGTGCTGAACAATCAACATTCCTCATAGCTTTTATAGGCTGTCACCTTCTCTTCTCGTTAAAGAAATGCTTGCTTTTAAATTATAGTCAATGATGTTTTATCCCAAAGGGATTTTTAAGTGCTGTTTTTTGAGCTATGGAGACCTTAAAACTGAGTTCTGTTTTGCAGGGTAAAACACTCCTTAGGGATACATGAATCGAGAATTACCATTCCACAGCACTTACGTGACAGCACTATGTGCAATGTTATGAGAGTTGTAAGAATTTTCAAGTAAAATGAAGATGATAGAGCAGTAATAGGGGCCCTGCCTTACTGTGTGGGATAGTGTAGCACTTGCACTGAGGCAGGGCTAGGCTCATCCAGCTCAGTGAGCAGCGTTCAGTGCTGTTTGCTGCTGCCTGCTTTGGGGACTTCCAACCCCAGTTTGTTCTGAACCGTAGCTTAATTATGGTGTTCATCATGGGGAAGGCATAATGGGTTGGGCAGATATGGCTCAGAAATCCTAAAAAATGGGCTTTGTAATGTAGGCAAGCTTTTTCTTAAAGCAGGAGACATGTAAGGGAAGAAGGCCTGGGTCCTTCTGCATTTTCTTTTCCTGAAAATTACAATAATTTCAGAAAAATATGTTCCTTTCCCTTCTGCACGACCTCAGGATACATTAAATTTGTAGCTAAGGCAAAGTTCTGAGGTGGGGGGTCATGGCATCCGCAGCAGAACCCGGGTATAGCAGTGGTGCCCTTGCCTCCGGCGTGAACCACCCCGGACCGCTGGACGGAGCCGATTCAGGTGCCTTAAAGAGGGCGAGGCTGGCCGGAGCGCGGGGCCGGGTTCCGGGGCCGGGCCCGCGCAGGCGCAGCGCGGCGGGCGGGCGGCGCTCCGGGCTCCCCGCGGCCACCGTCAGAGCGCCGGGCTGCGGGAGCGAGCGGCGCGGGAAGCACGGCAACAGCCGGTAAGGGCCGCCCGCCCCCCGACCCGGCCCGGCCCGGCCCGGCCCCGCCGCGCCCCTCGGACACCGAGCCAGGGCAGGGGCCCGGGCTGGCCCCGCCCCGTCCCCCCAGCCCAGGGCTGCTGTGCTGCCCTGCGCGTCTCGCTCTCGAGGCTCCGCTCTCAGGTCCCGTGGCCCCGTCCTTGCCCCGGGAGCTTCGGCTCCGCTCTCTCGTCTCTCCTCGGCCGGCCGGCCGGCGGTGGGCGGCGAGCGGCCAGAGGATCTCCGCTGTGTGACCTGGGCCGCGGAGAGGCCTCTGGCGTAACCCAGAGCCCGTGTCTGACACCCGTGTCCGAGGTCAATGCTTTCCTCCTAGACCCTTGCCCTTTCTCACCATCCCAGGGGGTAATGCTGTTGTGCAGACGAGCACACTTGAGACGTGTGTGCAGTGCCATCTGAGCAGCGCTGAGGAATGGGCAACAGCTTCTGAAGCTGCGCAGAGCACATGAAGTTTCTTTATATACCATTGGAGCTGTCATGGAGGAATGTGCTGAGCCCTGCCCTGCAACAACCCCACCTTGCACACACCAGTGATTAGCTGAGATTAGCTGAGTGTCTCTCTGCCTTCTGTAATCGGGGTTTATAATAAGCACATACGAGACCAGCCTGGCTGTGGGGTGTTGGGGAGCTGCGGAAGGAGGGTGTCAGAATAGTGCAAATGGAAGGAGCAGTACAGAGATCAACGCTGGGATGTGGAAACTGCAGAGACAGTTCGTGTCTTAACCATTGTGTCATGGCTGAGGGATGTTTTTCAGGTCTTAGGGTGTCTGCTTGTCACCCGAGTGACCTTGGATAAATCTTTTTTGTTCTGCCCAAGTTTCACTTTTAACTAAGTGTGGGGAGGTCAGCCTATCAGGTCCTTTGTGTGCAGTGCTGGAAGTCCAGTATCAGTAGGAGCTGTTCAGAGAGGAATGTTTGGGTGTCCAGTGGCAGGAGGAGGACTGGGAAAGTCAGTGGGAGGGGATTTCTGATTGACAGTATTTGGGTGGTGCAAGAGAGAGAAGGCCTCACTGGAGTGCTATCAGGGATAATTATTATGATAGCTTTGAGGGTCAGTTAGCTCATGCAATAACCATGGTCTTATTATAGTGTACTGTAAAGCTGTAAATGTTAAGGTTAGCAAAGGTGAGGAATTTTTGCCTCTGACAGTATTGTTTGCATGGTCTAACGTATTTGGGAATTTTCACTGTTAAGCTGCATGCTCTCCTTAGTGGTGAGGTGTGCTGTGACCTGTCAGGTTTTGCTTTGCAAACGTTGTTACCCTTTAAGGTCAGTGCAGGAAGCCATGTCTGAGGAAAGCTGTGGAGAATTGATGCTCCTGTCCACTCCCTTTGGGGCTGACATTCATTAATATATTAGATCTGTAACCGGATGGATATCTGTAGAAGAAAGGTGAGGAATCGTCATGATTAATTAATTAGAAGTCCTGAGAAAAGCATGAGCTTTATTCGAAGTCCTGCCTGCTATTTTGAGAGATGACAGCAGGTGGCAACCTCTCCCTAAAAATTCTGTTGTGGAAGAGTTCAATACTTGCAAATTTTTCTCAAGCAGCCAGAAGAGTTTGCTAAAGAAGGGTTTTTTCCTTCCGTAAGGATTGTGAATCCTCTCCTGGAAACAAATATGCATAGTATATAGAAGGATCACTTCTCTAAAAGTAAGACTCAAATCCGGCTTCTTTTTTTTCTCCTTTCAAACTCAGAGCTCACTGACTTATGGAGGAGGTGCTGCTGTATCTCTCAGACCCTCAGCTGCAGTGGAGCTGAACTGCTCGGACATTCTTAAGAGACACTGTGATACTGTGATCTTTTAGCTTCTTATGCATCTTCTGTTGGCCTTAAGTTTGTTGGAACCGATGCTGGTTTGCCTTTAGGGCTCAGGGACACACTGAACCTGTTCAATACTTCTGCAGTTGTTCTGTTGACATTGAGCCACTCTAAATGGAGTGTTGTTTGCTTTCCTCCATCTGGGTGGGTTACTATGACCAAGACACTTTACCTTCACATTCTGTTCTGACTTAAGATTGTGAAAAGAGAACAGTAATGATGCAGTAATTGACTTTCTTATGTAAAACTCTCTATTGACAAGAAAAGCCAAACAATTGATCAGTACTGTTCCACACAAGTTTTTCAACTTATCTTTATTTGCACATTAAATGTGAATTATTTCGGGCATGCAGTCAGTCCAGAACACAGGTAGGGAGGGGGAATTTGTACCACTTATCCAACTAAGTTTGTGATAGTTGCACTTTTCACTGATTCCTTACCAGTTAATTTCCTATAAGGAAGAGGTCTCTTGGCCATTGTCTATTAATGTTCATAGGGAAGTTTCTCTCTCACAAGCCAAGAAGCAGTGAGGCCTGAGTGTACAGCCAGCTCCTACAACTGATGGATTGTAACTGGAGGAGGAAGAGGCAAGAAAGGGACTTGTAAGGAGCATACCAGCTGTCCTGCCCCGCCACGGTCGTGGACCCAGCTAGAGCCTTATGCAATAGACTTGCTAGAAGATTCACCTAACTTCTGGGGATATTTTCACTCTCCTCTGCCAATGAAGGGAGAAGACCTGGACAGGGTTTCTGCAGTAGTATGGGAGGCATGAGTAGGTGCTAGAACATCTTGAGAGATGCACTGAAGAGAGAGTGTGGTGGAACCCTAGTGACTACCCCACAAAGTGTGTACTGGAAGACTGGAAAGTGAGCTTTAGAGATTTGTTATGGTAATGAGGAGACGACCTTTCCACCTGTATTCGTAGGGGGCATAAAGAAGTAGTTGCACTTTTTTTAATTGTACAGGAGTTCTGTTCAGATTCTTCTGGGCCTTAACTAAGTTGGGATAAGCCTGATGTGAGAATAGCAGTTGGCAGTTTGAGCTTTGGGAGATACTGCTGCAGACTAATGCTAAAAAGCATTAAATAGATTCTAGTCAATCAGCGTATCCTAATAGTGCATGGGGGAGAGAGAGAGGGGATGTCTTTAACTTCTGACTCATAAGGCAGAAGAAACCTTAAAAAAGGTGTAGAATTATTAGCTGGGAGGTCCAAGCCCAAGAAGTAATGCTGACTAAACCTCCCCCTTGCGTGGACCCCAAGAAGCCACAGTTTCAAACAAGCCCTGCATCTGAACAGAGGGCCATGTGATGCAGGTTGTGGTTTGCACAAACACTGTCAAGTAACCAGGAGAGGTTAATCACAGCAAACTGACAAGATGCAGAGGGTTTTGCTGTGCTGCCTGCTGACAGTTTTACTTTATTCAGCATGATATCATCTGAGCATACAGTTCTGTTTAGCTAAACAGCAGGGCAGCCAAGCTGGAAAAGTGTAGGCAGCGTTCATGAGAGTGACCCCACTAGCCTGTGAATATCCACGCAGCATTTATGATACTTAGAAGGCGTGTTTGTGGTCAGGAGTGAGCACTGGGTGTTTTCTCCTTTGTAAGAATAGGATCCTACTCAGAGCAATAATTATTTGTATTGTATTCACTTGTCTTTATATTCAGTTTTGCAGCCTCCTAGCTGCCTGCTGTTGATATTTGATTTTCAGTTAACCTGCTACATTGTTGACCTACTAATCTCTCTCCAGAGACTTGGGGAAATTTTGTTCCCGTTTTACAGGTGTCCCTGGATCTATCCTGAGTAAATAAAGGGCTGCTATCAGTGCTGAGATTGAAACCCAGTAGTAACTAGTGGATTGCTTTTTCTCACCTTCTACCACTTGCTGGCTCCAAGAGAAAGTAAAATGATTTTTTCCCTTTCATTTTTTGGAGGAGCAAGAGCAAAGTACATTAACTGAATTGCACTTTGTTTTCTGTCGCCACGTCACTTTTCTGCTTGGAATTTGGCCTTCCCTGAGATTCCTTCTTCTCTCTTTTTGCTTATGTATGTACTGACATTAGCTTGTTTGGAAAGAGCAACTAATGCTAGATGAAAATACATTTGTTTAAATTAATTTCTGCAGCTGGTTTAAACCAGCCTGCAGTGAAGACTTGAGTATGTTGATTTAGATCCCCTTCTTTTTTTTTGAAACTCTCCTGTAACTGGAAGATATGAAAAAGAGAGCTATATATGAAAGAAAATCTGGGTTCAGACACTGGGATTGGGGGGTGGGGTGTTAATGTATTCTTAAATATCCTAATTCATTCTAGTAAAACTGTATTTGCTGCCTCAGGAGGTGGAAATTAACTTCACTCTCGAGAGCAATGTGTTCTCATCATGTTTCTGATGCGAATATTTTCAGGTCAACCGTATCTCTCTGTTCTAAACTCTTTGTGACATTTCTTTCAGAATCTGGAAAATGAAGCTAAAAGAAATTGAGCGAACAGCTGTGCAGGCGTGGAGTCCGGCAAACAACCACCCTATTTACCTAGCAACAGGTAAGGTCCTTCACTAATTGTGAATATTGGAGTATAAATCACAGAAAAAAATTATGTAAAGTTGTATGGGTTTTAGCTTTCAATAGTTTTCACCTTGATGCTCTATGGAAAACTTACAAGCAATATACCAAAACTATTATAGCTTTTATTTTTTTAAAGTAACTGGTGGAGAATTACTTCTATGCCCAACTTTGACATTTTAAACGTGATTTTTCAAAGGTTGAATACACGATTTTTTGATTTCTAATTAGGACTGTATGGACTCCAACACTGTTTGCTATTCTGGATTGCACACTTCCTATGCCTGTGGGGGAAAAAAAGTTGATTCAGTAATGTTTATTTAAAGTCACTTCTACTTTTCTGTCTTCAGTCATAATCATGTAGCTTGACAATCAAATACTATAAACCTCTTCTCCTTAAAGTTGCCTGTTTTGGTTAATATTCCATTTTCAGTACTTTTGCAAACCTTAAATTTTATTTTGTTGATTTTATTAATTAATCACTATTCTTATAGTAATTTTATTTCCTGAAGCAAAAAGTGAGTCCATTCACTGAGTTGGCAGCAGGCAAGTTTTTCTGTGTGGAGCTGACAGCTCCTGTGGTTTTGTTGGGTTTGCACAGTAAGGCTCTGGTAGCTGGTGGCTTCTGTAAGAAGCTGCTGGAAGCTCCCTCTGTGTCTGCTGGAGCCAATGCCAGGTGGCTTCCAGATGGACCCACGACTGTTTGAGGCTGAGCCTGGCAGTGGCAGTTAGAGCACCTCTGGGATAACTTAGTTAATAAGAGGGAGAAAAAATGCCCTGTACAACTGAAGCACAAGAGAGGAGTGAGAATATGTGAGAGAAACAATGTTGCAGTCACTAAGGTCCATGCAGAAGGATGGGCTGGAGGTGCTTCAGGTGCCAGAGCAGAGATTCCTCTGCAGCCTCTGGTGAAGAGCTTAGTGAGGCAGGCTGTTACCCCCATTGCCCATGGAGGTCCATGATGCAACTGATACTGAACTACAAGCCACTGTGCTGGAGCAGGTGCATGCCAAAGGATGTTGTGGCCCTGTGGAAAGCTGGAACAGGCTCTTGATAGGGCCTGTGGCCCCATGGAGAGAGGACCTTATGCTGGAACAGGTTTCCTGGTAGGACTTGTGACCCTATGGGGGACCGAGGGTGGAGCAGTCTGTTCTGAAAGACCACCCCATGGAGGGGACCCACACTTGGATCAGTTTGTGAAGAACTGCAGACTCTGGGAAGGATTTGCATTGGGGAAGTTTGCAGAGAGCAAGGCCAGAGTTTTGGTTGAACCAAAGGTCTTGGCTTCAGTTTGCTTTAGATCAGAAGCTGTGTAGTTTCATAATTTGTACTGCTTTTTAATATTCCTATGGGCACTTTCCATGCTGTAAGCATCCCTGTGGTAATTGGGGGACAGTTTGCCTGGCAGTGTCCCACTAGGCAATGTTAAATGAACTTGTAGCTTTTCTTTTATAAGAATAAGGAGAAAGAAGGAAGCTACCAGTCTGTGACTGCTAGCTGTCTGTGGAGGCTTGTTTAGTTGGTTACAGTTGAAGAACTTATGCTGTAGAGTAGGTTTACAAAGTCTTATTTAGACATGTCATGATTGAGGAGCAGTATGCAGAAGTACTTGGGATCATAATTGTAGCTGGATTTCGTGATGTCATTGAATTTGTAATTTAGAGAAGAATTTAATATCAAAAGCCATAGCTGCTTGGAGGAGGGTGCATGAGTTGCACCTGTCCCAAGAAAGAAAGTTATCTGTGTAACAGTAACCTTGGTGACCAGAATTTCTTGAAGAACTTTTAATTTCTTTCAAAGTCTTTGTCATAATTGTTGATTCCTTTCTGTGAGGTGTTCAGACATGTCCTCTTTTGAACTATTACAACACCAAGGTTGTGTTGACTATGAAGAACAGGTTTTCAGTGCCTTACTCTTTTTGTATCTTGTGCTTTTGATAAAAATGCCCACTTGTGTTGTCCTTGTACTTCTGCTAGGAACGTCTGCCCAACAGCTGGATGCTTCCTTCAGTACAAATGCCAACTTGGAAATATTTGAGGTTGACTTCAGGGATCCCTCCCTAGACATGAAGCAGAAAGGAGCACTTCCTGCCTCAAACAGGTACTAGAGGCTCATACTGGTATCAATCAATGAAACTGAAATGGGTTTTCTGGTGCAAGAAATTAGAGGAGGAGATAATGTTTACAGCATACAAAGTGATCCTTTAAATCAATTAACTTCTCTTCAGAAATGGAGCATTTTTGTTGATACAGATCATATTGGATACCAAAGTAGAGCAGTTGGACTATTAGAGAAATCTGAAATTACTTGTGTGGTAGTCAGTCAGTAAAGACATTATGTATAATGTGAATTTGCTGGGGCTAACAATTTGCCCTGAAGAGACTATAAAGAGAGTGAAACTTACTTTTCAGCTTTTTAAAACAAGATGATTTCTTAGGCTCATCAGTGTGGGTGACATCTGCACCCGGTGTAAAACCCAGCCTGGATTTCTAACTAGCAGATTTTAAAGGATGTAAACATATTTTTCAGATAACAGCTCTGGAAATGAAGGTTTGTAGATCTCTTAACCAATTTTCAATAAAGTGTAGGCTAGAGGATTTCACACACCAAATCCCACATAAGGTTCTTAGAGTTTTAAACAAACAACAAAACAGCCAAAAAAATAGAGACAAGCTCTTCTTTATAAGTTCCCTTGAAAAGTCATTGGAAGGGATAATTTCTTTTTTTGCATGCAAGAGCCACGGTCTTCTTAAAAGGGAGATGATTGCTTAAAGTGCAGACTGATGGATATGTTTGATAGGTTGAAACATGGATGTGGGTGTTGGTAATGAAGAGGTTGTCTTGATTTCCACCAAACATCATAGCCAATGCCAGCTTTATTTCCATCTTTTTTTAGGTTTCATAAGCTGATCTGGGGGAATTTTGGCAATGGGTCTGCAGAGTCCTCTGGAGTGCTCATTGGTGGGGGGGATAATGGAGTGCTGACAATGTACAGTGTGCAGCGCATCCTGACTTCCAAGGGCGACCCCGTCATCGGGCACACAGAGAAGCATTCAGGTCCTGTTCGGGCCCTTGACTTCAACCCTTTTCAGGTGTGTAAAATTAAGATACCAAAGGAGAGTTAACCTCCATGTTAGAAAATACATTCCTTTATGTATAGATTTATTAAGTGAAGGGACAAGTTTTAATTTAAGAGGCACAATAGTTGTGATACAAGGCTGATTTGAGACTCCGATTTGTGTTCTGTTAGAAGTGACCTTGTTCAAATCACTTACCTCTCTATAAAAACATGTCTTATTATAAAAACATGTAATATTTTTCCATGTCAAACCACTGCCCTTTTGAAATTAGAACTTCTATTTTTTTATTTGTTCAGTTGGCATTTAATTCAGTGGAGCTCTGATCATATTTGAAAGGACTGCAACATAAATGAGGAGTGAACAGAATATGGTTATTATGGTAGCACAAAGGCAAATGGAAAATTGTCTGCAGTTGATTGTGTGAAACTTGCATCTTCTTAGAAGAAATGTCCTTGGCACCAGGATGCAGGGCAAAGGCTCAGATGGCCAGAGGTGGTGGCGTCCATACCTGTGGCAGAATTTCATCATGATGAACATCCGCCACCTGCACAAAACAGACAAATTTTAAATGTGTCTGTACTACACCACAGTGGATGGCATGCAGGCCAGAGATGTACTTGGTTTATAATCCAGTCAGTATTTTTATGCATGCCAGTGGCTGTGAAATACAGCTCTCACCTCACTTGGGAAGATTTTTGGGGGTTTTGCTTCCATTTATTTTTAAGAAATCTGTAAGCGGGAATCTCAGATGAACGTTTTGGTTTTTTTTTTCCTACAGAGTAATCTCTTGGCTTCTGGAGCCAATGATTCTGAAATTTTCATCTGGGACTTGAATAATTTCAGTGTGCCTATGACTCCAGGGACTAAATCACAGGTAAACGAGTTTTCCTGTGGACAATACTCCTGCAATTTTTTATCTCAGTAGGCAAGACAAAAAGATGTGTGTGGAGACATCCTAGCCTAGTCAGTCTGTGTAAGGGGAATGACTTTGAAGTCTGTCAGGAGAGAGATGAATCAGAAGAGACTGAATGGTTTCATTCTTGGAGGTGGAAGAGGTGTTGTAAAGGGAGGGGAGATAGACTGGCAGGCTCTGGAAGGATGCACTTTGCATGGATGGGTAAGCTCTTTGTGGATTTGAATCAAGTAACTGACCAGTTTATCTTGTGATCCAGCTGGGGCATGTGTGATGGATTAAGAAGGTTTATTGGACCTTCTCTGAGGAATGAATTTATTTCAGGCTTCAGCTGAGGCTTTTCATATCTCATGAAAGTCATATCCCTAGCAGAGCCAGTGAGCCATTAAATGCATCTTAGCTATTGCTCCCAGATAATGTTTCCCAAGTTTGAAGAGGAAGAAGTTTCTGATCTTCTGATGCTTATTATATTCAAGGCAATCAGTTCCTGAAAGTAGAAAAATCATAGTAAATTTCAGTAAAAGCAGGCCAGTTTTTTTCTCCAGTAAGTCTCTTGTTTGTTTCCTTGCCTATGTCCTGCATTGCAGCAGGTACAATAACAGCAATTAGCCATGAATATTTAATTGTCCATCTCACTGCATTCTTGAAATGTTGCACAAGTTCATCTGAGAAGTTGGAGTAGAAACATATATATGTGCTCAGCTGCAGTTCTCTCTGGAGTGATTTATAACACATTTAGCCAATGTAGAATCTAGTATCTGCACCTCAAATGCAAAGATACTTTTCCAGGTGACATTCCCCCATAGAATTTTACCATCTACTGTACTCTGAGCAAAGGGCTTTCCCAAGTCTTTCTGGTTAGTGCTGCTGGTATTTCCAGTTAGTTGATCAGCAGTTGAAGAGAGGAATCTATGTATCATCAAATCCCTAATCCCTCAGTTAAAGTATTGACAGACTCCTGTGGTTTGTGTTCCCTCAGCTTGGTAATAATGGATGTGTGACCTTTCCTGTCTTGTCAGCCTCATGAAGACATCAGTGTGGTGTCCTGGAATCGGCAGGTGCAGCATATCCTGTCCTCTGCTCACCCCAGCGGCAAGGCTGTGGTTTGGGACCTCAGGAAGAATGAGCCCATCATCAAAGTCAGTGACCACAGCAACAGAGTGAGTGGAGAAAAGGCTGCATTTCTAACTAGCTTACAGCATGCCACATGTGACTACAAAGCAGCGACACAGACTCTTGGGACAAGTGGTTTTATTCTAGGAGCTGTTGGAACTAGTTCTCTTGTAGATGTAGCATCAAAGCACCTCTTTTTATTCTTTCCTGAATGAAATGGGGAAACAAGACCCCTTACTGTTCTTAAAATTCATGCACTCCTGCATTCAGTTTCTGTGTTCGCAACTCGTTTATGGGAAGCTTCCCAGCTTTCTTCCTAGGTCAGCTTTGGACTTCAACTTCCATATGGTTAGTGGGTTTTTTTGCTGTGAAGAGAAGGTAGAAATACTTGCTGCCTGGAGCAAGACATTCCTAGACTTGGTTTATGTCAAGCATTCTAGGCGAGTTCCGTACAGAATAACATGGCTTTGGCCCATTTGTGCTATTACCAGCTTGCTTTGCTGAATTTTCAGCCTGTGCTATTTTTGTCCCTAGATGCATTGCTCAGGAATGGCCTGGCATCCAGAAGTTGCAACCCAGCTAGTCCTTTCCTCTGAGGATGATCGTTTGCCAGTGATCCAAATATGGGACTTACGCTTTGCCACCTCTCCTCTTAGCCAGCTGGAAGGGCACACGAGGTGAGGACTTCCATGTTGTGTTGCATCTTTTCAAGGCAGATATCTGGGAGATTGGACTTTGGGGAGGTATGATTTTCTCCCAGGCCTGCTTTCTTTCCCAGATGAATCTGGTTGAACGCAGAGATGAGAACTAGCATTTCTGAGCCAAGGTGCTAGTGTATGGGGCTTTCTTAGTAACTGGGTGGCAGGGTGGACTGTACAGGAAATATGACTGATTTCTTTCTGATCTATTTTAGGGGAGTTCTTGCTGTTTCTTGGTGCCAGGCTGACCCTGAGTTGCTATTGAGTAGTGCCAAAGACAATCGGATCTTGTGCTGGAACCCAAGTATGGGGGAGGTATGTAACCACAACTATCAGTACACATGGTCTACTTTATATTGTGTGCTTTGCTGTGTGTGTGTCCTTCCCTGTATCCTTATGGAGTGCCAGTGTAATTCCCTCAAGTGTGTCTTATGCACTCTTTCTGTCTGGAGTGAATGGGTGTGGTCCATATCCAGACTGAAATAGGTTTTCACTGATACATCTTTGTCCAGAGATCAGAGAGGAAAGAAAACTTTAATTAAAGTTTAGTTTCAAGTATTTATGATTACTCTTGCTATGCTTACACTTTAGTGTTCTCTCTTCCTATGTGTTTCTTCTTTTTCCTTCTCCTAGAGTACAAAGTTCTTTTGGGAGGAAATTTGAAGGGAACTAAAGTGCATTTGTTAGAGGGGGTCACTGAGAAGAAAACAATGTAGTTAAACAATGTGTGACAACTTTATAGTAAAATGGTTTCACATATATGTGCTTATCTAGTCATATATCTCAGAATTACCATATTTGGTATATTAAGGTATCACCTGAATTAAAGTGGGGCTGTTTAAATTTTTTTTTATGCACACCCATTCATTCAGTGCTGAGTTCCTGGATAAAACTGAACTTTGGACAATGCAGTTGATCTTGATGATAGCATGGGGAAAGTGCTCTAACAATATTGAACAAAGTCCAGATGGGAGCCCAGGCTAGATTAATTTCATGGGACAGTATCACTCAGCTGACCACTTTTGCCTTGGAGGCAGGGAAAAAAATGAATCAGTTTTCCTAAAATGAATGAAATGCTGCTTTAGTAGTTTGATGGGATTTGATGCTCATTTTTTCTAGCTCTCTAGTAGTTAGAAGGCAAACAGACTCTGAAACGTTCCTGATGTCTAATTTTTGCAAAAATATTTTCACTCTCTTTTAGTGGAAAACTTAAAAAAAATAGTGTGGCTGACTTCCCTTTATGCATGCTGCTATAGATTTGCAGTGTCCAAATTTAAATTAGACTTTCATGTAAAACTACTGTTAGGGGGCTCTTTTTGACTTGGTACCAGTGAACAATGAATTTTCAGGTGAAAATGTTGGGAAGCATAGCAGTGTTAAGGTTTAATACAGTTATACAGAATGGCTGATCTCATAAGTTTGAGGAAAGTATTGATTTCTCTGAGTTTGGGGGATGTTTGGTTTCTTGGGATTTATTTGTTAGTTTTTTTATTTGACAATCTAGATTTTAATATAAGCAAATGATATTAATTTGCTTCTACCTGGAGTTGAAAGCACAGATCATGTTCCCACAGAAAAGGAAGCTGTGATTGTCTGTGCATTATTCCTGTAAACCATAAAGGAAATATATTCGTTTTACAAATGGGAGGTTTAAAGTCAAGGCTGTGTTAGTGAGTTGCCCAACATCAGGCAGGAAATCTGTGACGGGGCCATGAATTGAACTTTGGCTTTTTTTGAGTGCTGAACCATAAACTTGTTGGCTGCAATGTCCTTCATAGCTCATGGGCAGCTATTACATTCCTCTTGTTCTATTTTTTTTCTTTAGGCTCTTTATTTTCCGTGTCGTATTTGTTACTCCACCCTATTCTTTCTGTTTATGTGATCTTGCTTATAGCACATTCTTGCCTCTTGACTTCTGGTTTTAGTGTGTTGTTTTCTGGTGTCTCTCCCTTGGTTAACAGCAAATGTGACAATGCTATAGTACTCTGATACAGTAGTACTTAGAAAGCAGAGCAAAAGCGACTGTTCACTTTTGGATTTTGTTCTACACTCAGAATCAGTATAATGTGAGCTTTCTGTGACTTTCAGCTGTTTGGACTCAAGGTGCTTTGTTTGGTTGCAAATGCACACTTCAAGAAGCAAAAATAAGAGATTTGTATGCAATGGTGACGTACAAATAAAGAGACACGCTTGCTGTGAGCAAGTAATTTGGGGAAAGCAGGAGCCTATTTGTATTGTGCTTCTCTCTTCCTGTGATAGGTGGTGTATGAGTTGCCCATTCGGAGTCAGTGGTGCTTTGATGTCCAGTGGTGTCCTAGGAATCCTTCAGTCTTCTCTGCCGCCACTTTTGATGGGTGGATCAACGTTTATTCTGTTATGGGTGGGAACTTAGAAGCTCAGCAGAAGACACAGGCTGACAAGGTAAAGTCCTGTGACTGTGTTAGACCGTGACAGAGCAGCAGTTTCTCTCGTGACTGCTCAGAGAGGTGGAAGCACACGTGTGTAACAGAGGCACTTTTAAGCCATGCAGTCTTGTCCCATGCACCAGGACCTATGGCTGTATGGTGTGGGAACCAGAAGCTACCTGTGTGGGGGCTTAATAATCCCACCAGATCCCAAAGGGAGACCACATTGCCTCTGACAAGGTGTGTAAAGAAAACCAAGAGCAAGTGCAGTTGTGATGTTAAGATACATTTTATTGTTACTACTATTAGACTAAAAATAAAGCAGCACACAAGCTTTTCTTGTCATTAGGTTAACAAATACATTGATACTAATTAATAGGATACATTATTCTTCATTAGTTTAGAAGATAATTTTATAAGTGGCTTATAAACCACTATTAGGAATTTTTCTCAAGTCTTGACTACAACATAGAGCATGTTAATGTTTATGATACTGAAACCCATTACTTAGCCAATGAATAGATGAGCAAACTCTGAATTTAATTAAATGTCACTACTGTCTAAAATTTTAGTTTTAATCTGGTGTCTAGTCTTTTAATTCCCTCCCTCTGTCCCAGCCAACAAATGCCTTACAATACAGGTTTTAAGAGAATACATATGAGCTGGCTTAAGTGTTATTTATATAGTCATTTACAGCTGACTGAGTTCAGTTTCATAGGATTTGCAAGAGACAGAAAATACTTTATCAAGCAACAGCTGTGGGAGATTAAGGATTTATTTAACCCATGGAGAATTTTCTTCCTCTGCATACTTCATGTGCATGCACCACTGTTCAAAACTGGGAAACAGTAGTTTTGAAAAATTCCTGAATAAACTGAATAACAAGTAAGAACACAAGCAGGAGATAATGACAGTTATGGTGACAGGGGCTTTGTGACCAAGAGGTCTCTCTCTTATGAATTTAGTAATCTCAGGACAGAAACTCTGTTGCAGACCTGGTTGTGTATATTTATTTCTTTAAGGTTTAGGGTGTTTGATATAAGCTGTTCCTCAAGAAATATTCTTTCTTTGGAATTGATTTCCTCTAAAGAAAGACAAAACATTACTTATGATTCTAAGATTTGGCAATTTTAGCTTGATCAGCCTGATGTTGGGTCCTTTTGGGTATGCTGGTTAGCTGAACTTTAAAGTTATTCCCTATGGTCCAGTCAAACTTGAACAGGATTATCTTTAGCAAACAACAAATCTGTGTGAACAATGTTAAAAATGAAAAGTGCTTGTGAACAGCATTGTATGTATGTTCACTGACTCCCTAAATGTCAGAAATCTGGCTCGGGAGCCACTTTTGACACTCTCTTGTCTAGACAAGAAAGTTTTATTTCATTAGTCTCATCTAGGCCAAAAAAGCTTGAGACAGTCCTTGAAACTAACCCATTTGAAAGACTCCAGCAACAAAAAGGGAGTCAGAATTCCTTTGTGAGAAAAACAATAAGTGGATCAACTTTTGACCATATGTTGTCATTATCTTGCATAAAACGAGTAATTTTGCAACTCCTATATTTGAGCTGGGTGCTAGGCCTAGCAGTGGTTTTTTTAGGACATTTGCATCTTGCTAAGAAAAAAATACTTTAAAATCTCTTAGGGTAAAACTTCCTTGAGAAACAATTGCTGGAATTGTTTTGAAATGCCATTTCTCTTGCATAGGGGCTCAGTGGTATTTCATAAAAGTGCTGAACTATCCTCATTCTTCATTAGAATGGAAAGTAACTAGTTCCTAAGCAGTAGTTTTTTGTGCTTGCTCCATTCCATACAGAGAGGAATTGAATTATATTCTCTTCCTATTTCCTTCTGTTTCTAGATCTCTTCCTCCTTCAACAACCTGGATCCCTTTGGCACAGGACAGAGCCTTCCTCCTCTGCAGGTGCCAGAGCAAGTAACTCAGACCACTGTGATTCCACCATTAAAAAAGCCTCCCAAGTGGATTCGCAGACCTGTGGGGGTTTCATTTGCAGTAAGTGAATGGAGCATCCTTAGCTGAAAATGCAATACATACATTGTCTTGTGACACAATCCTTTTTCACTGAAGAAACCTGTATCTTCCTGTTGCTAGTTGTTTTAATGCCTGTTTAAGGTGCATTTGGTGTCCCACGAAGTGAAGTTTGTTTACTCTCAGCATTTGAACATATTTCCAACAAAAAAAGAGTCCTGTAGCATAGAATGGGAGATTATAAGTAGGAGTTAATAAAATCTAAGGAAAATTGGTAAAAGCTTTCCTTGCAGGCTGGCATGCATTCCCATTTTCCTCTGTCTCTTTCCTATCTAGACATTTAATTTTCCTCTCATCTTTGCTCCTAAATTGGATGGCTGGATTGTTCTTTATGCCTGTTGCTTGACTTTTTCTTTGTCTGTCTAGTGCCTGCTCTTCACCTGATAGTTTTTATCATTGCAGTGTGCCTCTCCATGTAACAAAATAATTAACAGTTCTTTTCAATGGCACTTTTTCCTCTGTGTCTGTCTGGCACTTGCAATTGCCTAGGTCTGATCAGATATGCACAAGTGTCAAGTTTATCAGTGTTCAGTTCAGCTGAAGGGCTCATGATGAGAATTCCCTCAATGCTCTTATCATCCATCCGTACACACAAAACTCTTGGGTTCCTTGTGATCACTGCTGGAGCTTGGGTCTGCCTTGCTAAATGAAGAACTAAGTGAGTAGCTTTTGCCTTTGTTTATAACAATACTAACTGTGTCTCCCTTTGTCATTCCCAGTTTGGAGGAAAACTGATTACCTTTGGTCATACCAAAGCTCCTGGACAGCAAATACAGCAGACTTATCCACACCAGGTATTCATCAGTCAAGTCACTACTGAAACTGAATTCCTACTCCGATCCAAAGAACTGCAGATGGCCTTGCAGTCAGGAAACCTCCTTGATTACTGCCAGGGCAAGATCCAGACAGCCAAGGTGCCATTTGATGAGAACCTTTGGAACTTCTTGAAGGTAGGATGGCTGTGGTGAAATACAGAGGTCAGTTCTTCTATGGTCCTGGGGTGGAATATGGTCCTCTCTAGCCCTTTATATTCTTGTTCTCTAAAATATAAAATGGAATTGAATGAATATACTCATTACTTTTCAAAAGAAAGTTAAGGTATTGGAGGTTCTCTTGGTTTTCATTAGGAATGGTCTTTTCAGTGGACTTGTTTGGGCCTCCTGAAACAGGAATTTTCATCTCAACACACTGCCAAGCTATATCTGCCTGCTACCTGTGGAGCTGTACATTATTATTTTTCAAGGTGAAGTCCAAATGAACAATGAGATACCCTAGAACAAGGGAGAGAGCTGTGGTGGCATGAGGACTGTTTAGCATTCATCGACAATTTGGTAGTATGAGAGTTTGGTAAGAGGTTGTCCTTCTGAAGAGGTAGGGCTTAGTCTTGGCAGTGGTTTCCAGACACTTGTAGCAGACTGTTTGGAGGGCAGAATCTTGGGATCTTTGCCATAGTATTATATTTGCATGGGGAATTTCAAATAGGATGGCTAGCTGTAAATCTAGGTGGTGACAGTGGTCTCCATTGCAACAATGTCTTCAGTTAAATTAAATGAGAGACATCAAACTGTCATTTTTAGTCATTTTTTATAATCCATCTGGTTTGTGGTCCTGAGGGATCACTCCAGCACATAAAGGATCTATTACAATTGATTGTCTTAAACTACAGACTAGGCTTCTGTGCAAGTGTCCTGCAGCACCATTCCTGCTTCTGCAGAAATAGTTTCTGAAATGGACTGTTTACAAGTATTTTATCCATGTACAGTTTGATCAGTTGTGTAGAAGGAACAGTTAAGCAGGACTTAACTGAGACGGATTCTCCTTGCAGAATGTTAATCATGCATTAAACCATATAAATAGTGCCTATCAATTAGGCTGTGTGCAGCCTGAGGGAATTTTTGGGGAGTGTCTGAAATCTTCATCCAGGGATCTTCTGTAACAGTTAACTAATTCTTGTGAAGCCAGCTAGCAATTCAGGCAACCACCTTGTCTCAGTTTCATCCAGACTCAAATCAGTCTATTCTCTCTATGAAGAGATTAGCTTGGCAGTTCCTAGACTATCCAGGGGACTAATGGCCAGTACACTATGTCTGTATACAGTCATGGTCTTGATACACAGTTGTACCTCAGTTGTAACTGTGGCAAACTTGTTTTGCCCTTTTATCGTGATTATAACTTAAATTCCATACATCTTTACACAATAGTTATTAGGTAGGCTTTTCATAGTTGAATTCTTTATCTATAAACTGAACTCTAAACTTTGCTGCTGCCAGATGCAGGTAACTATTGTCAGTGTGAAAATATCTATGATTTTACATATTTTTTGTCTTTTTAATATCCATTGGGACTCAGGTGAATTTGGAGCAGGAGTCCAGGACTAAACTTCTCAAGCTGCTGGGCTACAGTAAAGAGGATCTGCAAAAAAAGGTAAGGGGTATTTCCAATAGATAGAAACCTTTACAGGACTAAAGCTGCTGCAGTAGAGTTGTAGGGTCCTACTGGAACTGAGCACGTGATCTCATAGCACACAAAAGACCAAACTGTGTGAAATTTCAGCTGGAAGTCACATGAAGTATACCTCACTAAAAAGCAAAAGCAAGCACTTGTAAGAATGTAACCGTAGCTGTACTGAATCAAGCCAAAGGGGTCTTGAGCCCAGTTATCTTGATTTCAGTTGTTGGTGCACTGGGAAGTGTTTAACAGCAATGCAGTTGTGAGAGCTTCTTTTAGCATTCAGCTCTCTGCATCTCAGGGGATTCTTCAACCAGGAAGGTGACAGGTGGAAGACAGTCTGGCATAGTAATGATGGATAATGCTCTGAAAAGGATAAATAGTCCCTGATAGGCAGCCAGCCCGGAATAGAGTAAAATGGAAGTTTTCAAACAGGTGAAAGAGGTGGGGGAATTGTGTCTGGGACTTGCCAGTCTCTTGGTAATTTTGCTGTCCAGGTGCTTGCTTTGATAGGGCCTTTACTCTGTGTGTCTGTTACTTTTCCAGATCACCTCATGTTTGAGTAATGGGATCTCAGATAAGCAGCCACTTCCTGAGGCAGGCAGTACAAACGCTGCACCAGATCAGGTATGTCCTGTACCTCTTGCCAGCTTGGGAGAGCAGGGGAGGGAAGAATGAACTGGAAGGTCTAATTCCAACCACAATTTGCTAGGCTCAATGCTGGCATTGCAGAGGGCAGTTAACAGGCCTGTCAGACCCTCACAGGGTCAGACTAAATGATAATAACTTTCCCTTCTGGCTTTAAAACTAATCAGTGAACAGTGAAGGACTCCTGGCTGTTATTCCTGCAAGAAGGTTTCACCTGTGTTGATTTCTTCAGTGGTAGAATTACCCTCACCCCAGCTTAACTTGAGCCTACTGTTCTGGATTTCCTCTATGAAGCTTCTGCTATGGTATTTCTTTCATTTTCACCTCTATCCTCTGAAATGTATTTTCACATAATTTTGGGATGTCCATCTTCAGATGCCTTGCAAGGCCTGGTTAACTGTAAATTTTTCTCCTCTGAGGTATCTAAAACTTATATCCTCTAATTAGTAATCATCTTCACAAACTTCAAACACTGGCTAAGATACTCTAGGAGTAGCAATTGTGTCCTGCATTTCAGTAAAGCACCACGCATGGCTGTGATCCAACCTGTTATTTACAGATTTTACTTGCTGGTCTTGTCTCTGTTCCATCCAAAATGGTTCACCTTGCTCAAGGGCTGACAGTTGAGTTGATGAATGCTGTCCAGCAGTGCTGTCGGCATTGCATGTCTTGCACCATCAATCTCCTAAGCTTTGTCAATTGCAGCATTGCTCTTGTTGCTTCCCTCGTGAAAGTGTACAGATTGATTTCACAGTGACAGGAGTTTCCAAATTGAAATTAGATTTATATGAACATGCACAGCCAAATGGAGACCAGCCCCATCCCACCCTGTAGTCCACTAAACTGTTTTGGGTAGGATATGTGTGTGAAGTGAATTAAATAAGCTCTTGCACTCTTTGCACAGCTTTTGATGAATTCCAGCGATGATGTAGCTGCTGTTTCTTCCTCTTCAGCCTTTTTTGATAACCTCATCCCACAGAATATGAGTACATTGGAGATTCCTGTCACAGAAGGTATGCTATATAGTGTTTCTGCCCTCTTAGGAAAAGGGGAGAGGAGGGAAAACCAGAAAATTGAGAGACCAGGAAGAATCTAGTTCACTCCAGCAGGTGGATACTTCTAAAACATATGACCAAGTATCATGCAGCATATCTCATTGAGCATAGAAATACTTTTCCCAGATGAGAGACCCATTAAAAATACAGACGAATTTTCTAGATTATGGATGACTTAGAGTCAAGTCAATGGGTTTTTTTGAGTTTCCAAATTTTCTCTTAGCTGGGCTTTTATATGTTACTGCTTTTTACTGCCTGCTCTTTAAAACAAACATTATCAATGAATCTGAGTGATGACTGTTTGGTTTGACTCTGCTTCTCACCTCTGTAGATACAGATGGACTCATCAGCCAGGCCCTTTTGTTGGGGAATTTTGAGGGTGCAGTGGAGCTGTGCATGCGAGCAGAGCGCTTTGCTGATGCCATCATCTTAGCTATAGCTGGTGGGGATACCCTCCTAAAGGAAACCCAGAAGCGCTACTTTGCCAAGCAGAAAACAAATCTCTCTGTGGTAAGTGATGGTTCTGTGTACACTCTGAGCAGGAGAAGGTGTGCACTGTCTTGCCAAATGTTTCTCTGAATATATGTGGAAATGCTTTTTCTTCAATAAAGGAAGTAGAATATCAGCAGAATCTGTGCATCTCCTACTGACGTGACATTTACTCTAATAGCCTGGTAGTTTTATGACAATTTTATGTTGTCTACATAGTATGTCTGTGTTATCTGTTCCTTATTTTTTAATGGATGTAACCTGTGATGCATACTGCCCCTTTACAGCTCAACTAGGAAGTTCCTAGCTTATTAATTTACAAATGGGGAAGTGTAACAGAGGTTGGAATACCTTAACACTGTGTTCCCGGTCACTGATAACAGCTGCTCTGAAACAAGATATGTGTTAGATCTTTAGTCTTGTCTAGTGTGGCTGTTTCCATATTCTTTTACTTGCTTTGTTGGGCCTTTTTATTTTCCTTAGAGGCATCAGGTTCCAATTACTGTTAACATATGGTTGCTGAGATTAATGTCCAGTGAGATAGTCACTAAATGGTAGAAAGCGTGTTTGAAAGTGAGCTGTTGCTTAGACTGTCAGCTTATCTTTGTCTTCAATGACTGACAGGCCTTCTGCTTCCCTTACAGCTGCTTTCCTCCATTGTGCAGCAGAACTGGCAAGATATTGTTTGCACGTGTGATCTACAGAGCTGGAAGGAGGCACTGGCCATCTTGTTAACATATTCAAAGCCTGAAGACTACACTCAGCTCTGTGGTATGCAGTGTACTGTGTTTTGATACAATTTCCCTTGCAGGGGGTATCTCTGGACTGCTTATAGATAGTCGATAGAGTTAAGAAAAGAAAGCACTTCGTTCTCATTACAGCTACCTGGAACTTAATTAAGTGTGGACTGTTGAGTTAGGAAGAATGATAGGTGCACACTGTAGCTGAGAATCGTGGTGTAAAGTTGTATATGTGGATATTTCCTGTGACCTCTAGAAGTAGCATGGGAAAACACCGGGATAGATGCTATCCCTAGGATGAGACATGAAGAGGGTGATTTTTATTCTGTAGAGAAAGGAATTTCATCTACAGTAAAAGGTGCAGTGAGCTTCATTCCATCTAAAACAGGTTTCAGCACCCTACTATTGCCTGGAGATTCCCACACCTCTTTTGGAAATTTTTTTAAAGTGTTGGATTTTTTTACTGAATTCATCTGTCATTTCTTTTATGTGTTTGGGCAGACATAAAAGTTGGCAGACATAGAAAATGGTTTTTTTATTTCCAACCAGGTTGGCTTTGGGTTTCCTCCCCATTTCTTTGTTATCCAACAGTTATGCAATAGAGCTGGTGAAGGGTCTAGATCCCAAGTCTTATGAGGAGCAGCTGAGGGAGCTGGGGTTGTTTAGCCTGGAGAAAAGGAGGTTTGAAGTGGCCTTACTGCTCTCTACAACTACCCAAGAGAAGGTTGTACTTCTCCAAAATCACAAGTGATTGGAGAAGAAGAAACAGCCTCAAGTTGTACCAGGGGAAATTTAAATTGGGCATTAGGAGAACCACCTACACTCAATGGATTGTCAAGCATTGGAACAGGCTGCCCAGTATATATGGCACTTAAAATTTTGGACTTGGAAGTGTTTTATAGTTATATATATAGTTAAGGTTTATAGTTAGACTTGATCTTAATGTTCTTTCCTGATCTAAATGATTCTGTCATTCTAATTAGGTTCAGATGCAAAGCAGTGGGGTTAATGAGCTCTTCCAAAGGGGAGTGTATTAAATGTTGGCTGCATCTCTTCCTCTCTAGACATGCTGGGTGCCCGCCTGGAGTCAGAGGGAGATGCAGCCCTCTCCAATGATGCCTGCCTCTGCTATATCTCATCAGGCAATGTGGAGAAGCTGGTGGAATGCTGGGTAAAAAACCATGAGACTTCGTCACCACTTGCCCTACAGGTACAGGCACTATGATGTTCATTTAACTCCTCTTTAGGCCGGTGTCACAGTCCTGAAGTGTTCACATTTTCCCATCAGGGTTTCTGGCTTCCAGCAGACAGTGGAGACCTGTTTGTACTCACCCAGGTATCTCCTTCTAGCCTGGATTATGGGCCCAGTTTGAAAGGAGGCTTGTACTCTTAATAATTCAGGGTTTGTATGTTTACATTGCATGTAAATCCAGCCATGGATAGGAGTTACAGCCTACCTGCCTCTCTTACATACTGATGCCATCTCTGAGCTTCCTTTTAGACAGGGAAGTTTGCGCTATACGTTTGGTTTTTTTTACTGGTGGTAGCCTGGGATACATTTGCTGCTGTGCTTGTCATGTATAACTTGATGCTGCAGTTATCTGGCTGTACCTTCAGAGGAGCCTTAACAAAATAAAATGAAGTCTGGATCATGATGATATTCCCACTGCAAGGAGTGTGATCACATATGGGAAGTCACATCTTGCAGATAAATCAGGACTTCTAAGTCAATGTTGTTACCTTCCTCTCTTCATTCCTATCTATTATTTCACAGAATAATCTGAGTTGAAAGGGACACACAAGGATCGAGTCCAGCTCTTAAGTTAATGGCCCATATGGGGATTGAACCCGCAACCTTGGTATTACCAGCACCATGCTCTGACCAACTGAGTTAATCTCAGTAATCTTTATACTTAATCTAGTCCTGGCGAAGTCACTAAGCCCTGTTGTGTCTGTCACTTGCTAGAATGAGCTAGACAAGTCTTCCACTTGGATATCTGCAGATAATGCCCTCTGCTACAGAATTTCCTGGTTTTGTAATCCCACTACTGAATAAAAGCAACAAAATGGCGTCTTCGGCACTCCTGGTTGTTTTTGCACCTGGCCTCCTCCTGGTTGCCAGATACCAGCATGTGTCATTCTACAGCTGTAAACACTACTTTCATTTCTAGGCATTGAAGGAGTTTTGAGTAACTAAAAACCTTCTGGTCCTTTTGCCAGGAGTAGTAGGATTTTTTAGTGAATTTCTCTTGGTATGGTTTTAAGCCTTCCTCTTCCAAGTTGATCATCTGTAACATGATCACAGTTGATTGTAACAATCTTGTGGCTTCTGATTTTCTTTTTTTCCCTTACTATTAAAGTAGCAATGTCAGGGTTTGCTTCCTGGTTCCTGTTTTTCTCCAAGTGCACCTGGGGAAATGGTCATCAGTGGCAGTATTTGGTGCAGAGGGGAGTAACTTCTGTCCACATTGGCCCTGATGTCAGCTGAAAGTGAGAGAGCCATCTGGTATTGTCTCAGCATGAGATGGACCAGTAAAGCTAGCCAGATTCTAAGTAGTCTTATTTCTTCCTTCCCCCTGGATTATTCAGGATCTTATAGAGAAGGTGATGGTGCTGAGCAGGTCCATTGAGATGCTCCGAGGCACAGCAGGACCAGCACCAGGCCCTGTCTTGGCAGAACGAATCACCCAGTATGCCAGTCTGCTGGCATCACAGGGATGCTTGGCAGCTGCAATGAATTACCTACCCAGCAGCTCTAAAGAGGTGAGTGAGCAGCAAGCTGTTGTGGGAAAGAGTAGTAGAGGGGGAAAATGTACTTTGTATGAGAGAGAGCTGGGGTTTTGACATGCATCAGGACTTAAAGTTTCACCTTAGTTATGCTAACTTGAGAATAGAGGGGGAGGGGGGAAAGGAGTTCCAGGATATGGGTTTTGTCTTCATTTGCATTTTCTTTGTAGTGCCTTTGATTCAAGGAAAAGGAGCTATAGAACTGTAAAATGGTTGATGGAGAACAACTCTAGGAAGCAGCTCTCCAGGGAAGCTGCCTCTCTTCTTGAAACTAGCTGGTAGAGGATGGTAATGGGGAAGTCACCTGGCAGTTTGAACTAAATCCATCTAGTGCCTAAAATGTTGATGGGGTTGAGGAGGGAATACTCTAAAAGACTGGGGGAAGGATCAGTGAGACCTCATCTGCCTGGGAGTATGACAGGTGATGTCCCAGATTGTCATTTACCATTTGTTGAGGTTTTTTTTCCTGGTGGCTGTTGGGGGCATGGTTAGTTTTGCAGTTCATAGTTCATAGTCAGCTTTAGGTCATGCCTCCCCAGCATTTTCCATTGGGCTCTCAAAGTGCTTCTTCTAAAGTATAGTTTGTTTCAGCTCCTGATTGAACAGCTCCGAGACCGGCTCTTTCATGCTCAAGGAGAGAATGTGGGTGATCAGCAGCCACCCCCTTTTCCCTACACTCGTGTTCATGTAGGGGTCATTAAACCCACAGCAGCCAAGGGTGGTTCCACTCTTGAAGGAGCAGCCCACAAAGCAGGTCCCAGACATCCAGAGAAGGTAGGCCCTAAACTCAGGTGTTTGTGGCTTGGGAAGAGGGAGGGAGGCTACTGGGTTCTGGAAGGCAGATGAAGTAATATGAGATGACATGAACTGCAGACACTGAAGAATTCTTCAGTGATGTCCTTCACTGGAGCAAATGCAAGCTCTATGACAATTCAGAAGAAAGCTGTCTGGCATCTTTTCACATAGCCCTGTCCTATGTGCAATCCCTGGAGGAGAATGTTACAAGTGTAGTGATCCACTGAGATCTCAAATCTTAGGGTGAAAGGGGCTTCGATCATTTTCCTATGCTCATCTTACCCTGATATTTTTGTAAAATTAGTGTAGTATGGCTTCATGGCTTCATCTCAGTTCTTGAAGTTTTGCTTACAACCTCTTATTATTCCATTATTGTTCCTTTGTTATTTCTTCTGGTTGAGCTTCCAGGAGGTCATTATATGGGAACTTGCTCCTGAGGACTAATCCTTTAGAGAGCTGGAGAATACTCTGAAGAGTGTGGTACTCATCTTGTTGAGCAAGTTACATGGTGGGAAAGGCCTTTGATTGAGTGCATCCAGGGCACCAACAGCAGCAGCAGCTTCTGGTGCCTGAGAAGACAGGGATAGAAATTGCATTTGCTAGTATATGTATGTATATAACTCTGTCATCTATTTGCAAGTTCTTTGTTTTTTAATTGCAGCCCAACTATCAGTCATCATTTGCCCCTTCAGCACCATCTCAGCCTTCAGTGCCTTCCCTCTTCACACCTCAGCCAGTGCCAGCGATGTCTGTGACACCTCATCACATTGCCCCTCCCCAGGCCAGCACAGGTCCACCAGCAAGTGTCTATTCCAGAGGGCACCCATATCCACAGTACAACTTGGGCTTGAATCCAGCAACTGTCTCAGGGCCAGGTAAGCATTGTCTGATAGTTGTGTCCATTTCTAGGTTTGCTGAGACTGAAGCCTTCAACGTGGATGACAGCTGTAGATTTTTCCTCACAGGCCTGTTGTACTGACAAAGAACAAGCCAGCTGTCTAAGAAGTTTCTCAGTGCTACTGACATATTCAGTTGTAGTAACTGTTGCTGCAAGTGTGCTGATACTAAGCATATATTGGGGTGGAAAAGCCACAGCTGTCTTGGTGGCAGTTTGACTGATGTAGCCTGGGCTAGGAGCAACACGGGTTTTAAAGGGTATGGCTTGAAGAAGGGAAGGCTTACCACCAAGAAGGATAGTGTCATGAGTAGTTAGCATATGAAACAAGTGATGCTGATACAGTCTCTCTGTTGTCTGTAGCTGTTTCACAGTCTCAGCCATTTGGACCAGTGGGAGTCAGACCTGTTGGTCCTGCTCCCTTCTCCAGCCAGCCCTCTCTGCCAGGACAGTCCATGCCCATGACATCTCCTGGTGTTCCACCACCCAGACCTACTCTCTTCACTCCAGCCTCAGTCCCATCATCCCAGCTCCCTGCAGCTTGTCCTCTCCCTGTGGCAAGCCAGTCTCCTCTAGACTTTTCTTCAGCACCTTTCAACTGCCCCATGAACATGGGTTATCCTCAGGGAGGTCCTGGAGCTCCATCTACTAAACCACTGCCAGCAGCCATTCCTCCTCCTCCCACAGGTAAGTACTGCTTGTGTTGCTTGCATGTCCAAGGCCAGGTGGGTTTTGCAGTACATAATGGACATAGATCTTGTGAGGTCTGATCTGTCTCCCTAAAGACTGGATGTAGTGCTGAGGCAAACCTTACAGGTAAAGAGTGCTGAGTCTGGCTGTAGTGGTGAAACACAGCTATGATGACGGTTTCATTCAGCCTGCTCAGTTCTTTCTCCCAGGCTGTGGTTGCAAGATGATGTCTCTTCAGGTCCTCAGTGCACCCTGAATAGTCATCTACTTCAAAGGTATCTACTCTGATGGAAAGGGTGGTGGTTCCAATGGAACACCTGGTGGAAGGTTTGCTCATCTCGCCCTTGCTTATGCAACTTACATGAGAAGTGTATTTGAAATGGTGGGAGAGCTTCCCTGTCTGAGATACCCCTCACTTAGCTTCAGTATTAAATTCCTCTGTCTGCTGTGCTCGAGTGCTCCCATTTTCTTCCTATTCCTTTCTTCATAAAGGGCTTGTCTGGGAATCACTTGTGGATTCTTCTCTGCAGTGTTTTAGACTCCTCTGGGTCTATAGTTTGAATCCAGTCTATCGTGTGAAGTCCTTGCTAGCATAATGAGTAGAAAGTGTTGTTGGACCTAGTTCCCCATGGATGGGCATTCTTTCTATTTCCCAGAATATCTGGTGTTTGTTAATTCTGTGTTTGCTGTCTCAAGGGACAGGCTTAGCCAGGCTGTGGAGATCCCTAGCAGGAAGGCTGACAATCCATAGATTTTTTGAGCAGATGCTTCTCCAAGCCACACATATGCTGAGAGTGAAGGAACTAAGGGTATGATGTTTGCCTTCACCTGAAATCCTTTGCTGACCTGTGTTTAACCAAGGATAGCAAATCCCATTGTGTGAAGTCTGTGGGGTCTACACACCACAGGCTCTAAGCTACAGCTGGACAAATTCCTTCTTCAAAAGCTTTTTTGCATAGTAATCCAGTGAAATTACTCACTGAATGAAAGCTGTTGGTGATCATGCCTTTTCCATCCTGCCTTGATTTTCAGGTTTCTTCCCTTGGCTAGATCCACACTCGGATCATACAGGTAGTACCCAGAGAAACCTCCAGACCTGTGGGGCAGGCAGTGTTGCTGCTTCCAGTGAAATGCATGTTTTGATGTGTGTGTGTGCATGCATGCATGCTCACTGCTGTTTGTGGTTTTCTTGCATGCCTGGGGAGCTGTACAGGTGGGGTAGGGAACATACTTGTCCTAAGGACTAGTAAGTGACAGCTGGTGATACTGGAAGGGAAATAAAAATACTATGCTATTACTCATGAGTTTGGGTACAGAAAATAGTCTCCCACTTCTTCCTTCTTATTTTCCTCCAGTTCTGGAGGTATTAGACCATTTTCAGTCTGTCTTTTCAGGCAGTTGCTGGGCCAGCAGGACAGGGAAGCAGACAGTTTTCCTGTCTTGGTTCTCTAGGCAAGGAACAGGCCAGTGGTTGTAACTCATCTCTCCCTGTTACTCTCCCAGCCTTGTGCGTAGTTTTGCTTGTGCTTTCCCCCTGTAGTTTGGAAGAGGTGGAGTCCCAGCAGAAACAGTGGTGGAGTAGGGCTTCCCAAGAAGAATTTGGGGGCTCTCTTCCAAGGGTAACTGGAAATCCCTTTTGGCTTTAGTTAAAGGGTGAGGTTTGGCTTTGAATCTTAGTTCCACTGTTGGGGAAAATTTGGACCCAAGGGGTTTTCTGACTGATACTTTGTACTGATTTGTACTTGTACTGTATTTGTACTTGTACTGATTTCTTTCCTTGGGACTCATTGGTGTTGGAAGGAAGTCATTTTCTAATCTACATTGTCAAAGGGGTAAGGCTTAATGTCTTTGTGGTCTGTCACTGCAGTGATTGCAGCTCTTTGGTGGGACCATCTACCAGGCACAAATCTCACAGCTTTATTTAGGAAATCCAAGTACTTATAGGCACTTAGACTCCCAGGCAGTCTGGCTGTGTGGAGTGGGACTCCAGAGAGGGAGTTGTCTCTTCAGCAGAGAAACAAAATACCTCCGTTTCTCACCGTTAAGGGAAAACGATTCTATGGCAAGGATTTCAAGCATTTCCTTAGTCTGAAGATGCCCTTCAGGAATTCACAATTGAGAAATTCCCTTCTCCTTGGCAGCATTTACCCCCAGTTTTAATGGCAAATGTATGGCATGCTTGGTTCAGCATTGTTGTTCTGGTTTTGATTTGCATTTTTCTTAATCTGAAAAGGGGCTGTAAAATCACTAAATCTGACTGGCCAAAATTGCTTGCTTTGGAAATTCCTGAATATAGTACCTACAGCTCATGAACATTATTACTAACACAATGAACAGACACTTCTACTTGTAGAAATCCCAAGTTCCTGAGAGCGTTAGGGACAGGGTGAACGACGGCAACATGTTGGCTCATCCCCTTTTTGGCCAGGATAATCCCTGGTTCCAGCCTCTGATGGTCTTGTTATTTCTGGGACAGGCATTGCTGGAGACTGCTGCCATGGGGCACTCCTTTCAGGGATAGTGAGAAGTACTATTTCACAAGTAGCATAGGAAAGATAGCATTTCACCCCAGCAGAATGCACCAGGGTCTGTTGTCTCTCATGTCTGATGATTAAGTGCCTGGCTTAAAGAGTATAATTTAAATAGCTGTTTGCAGTGAGGATACAGAGTGCCACTGGGTTGGAATAGTGCCAAGGACTGCTAGGCCACAGACTCAGTGGGGGCCAGCAGAGTTCTAGGGCACAGAATCCCCAAGCTAGAAATAGGTGCCAACTTAATTAAACTTCTGGTCCAAACTCATCAGAGAGTGAGTCTTGAAATCATGGGAAAAGGGAGGGCAAAAAGAGGCTGCCAGAATTTTAATAATAAAGGTAATTAAAGTAATGAAGCACCTTTTGCGTCTTTCCCCTGTGATTTTTAAAGCTCAGTTCCCCTGTGATTTTTAAAGGATCAGTAGCTCATTAAGTGTAGCTCTAAGCTCCAGCAATTCTGATATTGCCCCCTTAGAATTATTCTGTTTTCTCACAGATTATTCCTGTCTCATAGGCTTGAGGTTATTAATACTGGGGTTTTGTCTAAATGTGCAGGTACCTTTACAGGACAGCAGCAGACAAGGTAGTTACAATTTGACCTTTGGAGAATGAAGAGTGGATACAAGTCTTTTGATGTCATGTTGTCTGATGGATTTTAAATTATCTGGAGTGAGGTTAGAGTACCACAGAAGTATCTGCTGAGACACCTCTCTGCTCCCAAAGCATTTACTGGTTAAGTCTATTCCCTTCTATTTGGCAGTCAGCAAATTTTGCTAAACTTTGGTTCTGAAAATAATTTTGGGAGGGAACCCACCCCTATATCTTTCTGCCTTTATCAGAACACCCTGTATTGCTTTGGACTGCCATCATGAGAATTCCTGTGAGTGCTGGTGAGAAGCCCTCTTACCTGTAGCATAGCTCTTGCTGTGCCACCACAGTGCCAGATTCTCTGGAGAACCCCAAGAACTTCCTGAAACCTGAGGTGCACACTTATGCAGATTCCCAACAAGGTTCAGGCCTGTCTCTGAGTCTGACTTCTGCAGTTTACAAAGCATCCAGAAAGCTTCAGGTAGTTAAAAAAAAAGTTTGCTGCGTGGGAGCGGGTGTATGCTGGTTCAGTCTGATCAGATATCACCTCCTAAAGTCTGTGCACACACTTGGATACTGAGAATGAAATTAAGAAAGGGAAGGGGAAGCAAGAGCATCTCATGGGCCTGTGAGCTAGGTTTGAAATTCCTTAGCCAAAACAGTCTAAAGGTGCAATGACAAGGGAATTGGAGCCAAAGGGCCTTCCCCTGAAGGAAGTTCTAAACTGTGCAAGCAACATTGTTGCTGCAGCCAGCTTCTCACAGTCTGAGGTTTCTGTCTTGACCTCTGTCCTTGCAGCTCAGGATTCTTGGAGTGATCCCTCCACTGGAAGAGGAGGCCTTCAAAAGAAAAAGGTAAGTTTTCAGCTACAATATGTGCTGGTTGTCTTTTAGCCAGGCAGTCCCATGTAGCAGATACATTCCTATAAATGCTTGCTGTCAAAGTCCTCAGGTCTCTATCCCTGTTGCTCTGTTTATGTCTGCACTGCATGCATGGCTGGGACTGGAGTCTAAGTAATCTTGACTGCTTGCCATCCAAAGTCACATGCTGTTCTGCAGGGTGGCTATTTTGTAACGTGGTTTTCAGCTCTAATGTTGCATCCTCTGTCAGTACTTCCCAGGCTGCCTACAGTAATTTGTTGTTAAAAATAGATTTAATCTTGTGCCCTTGCCTACAGAACTTTTTTGATAGTGGCTGAGGAGGTCACATTCTCTTCACACCTGACAGCTAGGGGCAGCATTTTCCCTCAATACAGTAGGACCAGCAGTGATTTTCCTTAGATGCTGATACCAAGTGATAAGGCACTTGTGCTGAGAGAAGCTGGGACAGGTGTAGCTGTGAGCTGCCTGCTCTGTTGGTCCTGCAGCTCTCTGCCTTGTCGTGATTGCACTGGAAGGCCTGTGAGCTGAGCTCTTCTGCAACAAATGGCCTCAGTAGCCCATTTCTATCACTGCTGCCTGCTAGCAGGTGTGACAAGAAGCTTCTTTGGCATCCTTCCCACCCCCCACTCCTCTTCTTTAGCTTGGAACAGACTTCTCGCCCTTTTTTCTGGCAGCATAGCTGGGAACCTGCTTCAGGCTGTGCTCACTACAACAGGATTAGCCTCTTGTTAAAGCCATCTCCTTTTGATCTAGCCCTGTTGGAGAGAATCTGTCATGACTCTCTGGCTTAGCAGGGGCACGATGAAGTGTTTGCAAGAGGAATCTCCCCCCATGTCGTGGGATTTTCCCCAATACTTGCTCAGTTGGACACTTTACTGCTGCTAATCTCTACATTCAGGACTCGTGCCGTTGCAGAGACCAAGCGGCTTTCTGAGGACCAGTGCTCTCAGGGGTAACGGATCTGTTTGATTGAACAATTCCAGAGGGGTTTTCTTGCTGTCGCTTTGACTGTTCATCTAGCATGGAAGAAGGGCCCCATTCTCTGAGTCTGAGGGCTGAAAGAACTGGGATGTGTTTTTTCATCATCTTGAGAACTGGTGACTCTTCAAGTTAGAAAGGATGTTGAATTTTTCTGTGGAGAAGCAACCAACATTTCTTCCTTGGACTTGGTTTTCTTGATTGTTTTTTTCCTTTCCTTTCTTTGCTGACAGTTGCCTGAGAAATTTACTCCTCTGGCCCCCATCACAGCTCCAGTAATGAGCCTGCCTGCTGAACCCCAAGGGATCCATCCTCAGCTATCCAGGTTGCAAGAATCTGGCCAGTCACCCCCAGGAGCACCTAAGGAAGGCAGCCTACAGGTACCAGGGAAAGTGGGGCATTCCCCAGCCACCACCATCTTGTCAAGTAGAAAAACAACTGAGCTTTTAAAGTTCTTAGTACGTGGCAGCTGCAGAGAGCTTATGCTGTTCCCTAGCAGTATCTCTGCCTGAACATTAGAGGGGTTGCCAGGTTGGAAAATTGGCACCTGGGTATGGGTGGGAGAGAGTGAAGGAGACCAGGCAGGCTGTCAGCCTGCTGGCAGTTGAGAATCCACAGAGGCCTGGAGCTGTATCATAGTCTGAAGATGATAACCTAACTCAGTGCTTCCAGATATTCACTGGGTTTGTGAAGGGGTGGAATTCTTTCTGTTCTCTAGTTTGAAGAGGAGAATCTACCTACTCCAGCCTTTCATGCTCCTGTTGCATTCATTCAGCTGCTTTTTTTTTCTGTCAGTATCACCAGCTACCTGTGGAAAGCATTGAGAGGAAGGAGCTGCCCCCTGAGCACCAGCCTTTGAAGGCTACATTTGAAGGGTTGGTGCAACGCTGCTCAGCTGTTGCCACTGATCCAGTAAGTCTTCCCTTCTCTCATCTTTGACTTTTTTCCCTTATAGATGTTTGAGTGGTGCTTCCTTCTTTTGGTTGGGTAAAGAGAGGAAAAGTCTTGTCCCTATAACCAAGTTAATCTCCTTTTGCCTCCTTTATTTAAGCTGCAGGTTTGTTCATCTTTGGGAACTGAGATGCATTCACTAACTTTTATGCACTGCTTCTCATTGCCTTCTTGGAGCAATGATTCTGTCCCCCTGGCTCTTTCAATTAAGGAAAGTAGAAGAATTTGCTCAGCTAATTCAGTTTCACTGGCTCGATCTGCAGATAGTTCTTGCAGAGCTGGTATTACCAGATCTCTTCAGAGCTTAGAGGGAAAGGCTGAGATACCTCAGGTGGAAGAGAAAGCCGAACAATCTTTGTGTCCAAGTAACTGTAATTTCTCCACCCTGATTCCTGAAAGGCTATTGGTACATGTCACATTGGATGAATGTGTCAGGCCAGACTGTCTGGAAGCAGAAAAGCAGTGTGTGCACATTGTGTTAGGTTGCTAAGTCTTCCCAGGTCTTGGGGCCACTAAGAAGCCTTCCAGAATACCTCTGCTTGATAGATGTTAGGATGAACAGTGAGCCCAGACTGCTATCCCAGAGTCAGGCAATTAGAGCAGCATCTTCAGTGTCTTTGCTCTGTCTTTCTGAGAGTGCAGCATAGCAATTTCTAATATAATAGATAATCTAAAGGTTCCCTCTATGAACAGAAAGGTCTGTTGATTTGGGCTTAAGCACGTGACTCAGGTGGTGGTTGAATAGCTGGCTTTGTACAGCACTGCAACGCACCGGAGATCCTGTGGCTTCCAGGCCTATTCCAGCAGTGCCCAGAGCAAGGCATTTGTGTTCATGGAATAAGTTACCTGTGAGTGGATTATTCAAGATGGGCTTAATGAGGTCAGTCTCATCAGAGCTTCAGTCACTTTCCTTGGTGGTTACCTAGAGTGGGAAGGATATTCCCTCTTTTCCCTAAGGAGACCAGGAAGAAGCCCTTTCTTGGGTCAGTCAGGCTGAGGCTGTCTGAACACCCCATGGGTCAACTAGTGGATGTTTCTCACTCTTTGGAAGTAGTCACTATATCCTGTGGTTTGCAAGTGCTGGCAGAAGGGGGAAATGTCTAGGCTGGGATATGGGAAAAGGGGCAATCCATCTTTCTGTGTTGGGGAGAAAATGTGTATGTATGTGTACATGTGCAGAATGAGGGCATGGCTGGCTTGTATCACAGGCGCTGGCTTCAGAGGCTGAGATGCAGTTGAATTGTAAGGTGCTGCGGAAAGACAAAGGAAGGGAGGGACTGAGTGAGAACACTTTGGCTCTGGAGAGGTGGCTTTGAAGTTCTGGCGGACAAGTAATACCCGTTTTTCTTCAGAAAACGCGAAGGAAGCTGGAGGACGCGTTACAGCGGCTGGAGTGTTTGTATGAGAAGCTCCGAGAGCAGGCAGTAAGTAGATGCCACCCTTCCTTGTCATCCATCTGGGTCACTGAGCCCACCTTGGCACTGGGTTGTGGGTCTTGCCATTTGTACCAGTGTAACCAGCACATATTCTCTTGGAAGACAAGGGGAGTGCCAAACCTTGTAATGACCTGACCATGAATCCAGCCAGCCTTGTATCTTCTTTCTTAACTTTTGCCCAGACAAAAGGTAACTGAGGAGGTATCTGCAGGGTACTTTTAATCTTCAAGAAGTATACTGGCACATAGACAGATCCTAGATGGGAAGGGGCAGTTGGGAGTGGTTAAGTGTGAACACAGTGTAACTAGCTTAAAAAACTCCAAAGATGGTGATGCCAGTTGCTGATGCCAACTGGTAGTTGTAGTCTGCCAAGGGAAAGAAGGAAAGAAGCAGCTATCCTTCCTGCCAGTGCTTGACTGTATAGGTGCTGTTTGGTGAAGTGGAGAACAATAAGGAAGGGTGTGGAGGGAGAGAGACCTGTGTTATATTGCTGAACATACTGACTCATTCTTCTCCTTTTCTACAGCTCTCTCCAACCATCCTCATGGGTCTCCATGAAATTGCCCGATGCATTGAGGCTAAGAACTACTCACAGGGTCTCCTGGTTCACACCCAAGTTGTGAGCAGCAGCAGTTTCAGTGAGGTGTCTGGTTTCATGCCCATCCTGAAAGTCCTCATGACCATAGCAGGCAAGCTGAATGTGTAAAGTGTGGAGCAATGGAACAGTGCACACCAAGAGCTGGTGGACCGCCTCACCTGTTCATGTGCTGCAGGTTGTAGACTCTCCTTCTGACTCTGGAGAAATAGGTCCATGCCAGTGCCTGGAACTGTGCTAGGCCAGCATGCCTGGCCCCATCCACTTTCAGACAGCCCACTGGTGCCTGCAGCTCCTGGAGACTGTTCTTTCTCTCTTCTTTCTTCCTAGTCTGAGGCCACTTTTCAGCCCGGGGATCTCAATTTCAGGCTGTCCAGGTTGCACAGTGGTCTTTCATCTTCCCTATATCGCCAGCACAAAGGGGAAACTTCTGCCCTTCTAGGCTGACATTGCTTCTTATTTTTCAGGAAACAAACAGGGCTGGTACCTGCAGCAGCATCACAGAAGAGTCTCAGGCTCTATTCCCTGCTGCAGAGTAAACTTCCTGAGTGGTAGCTGGGCTGCCTTGGGAATCTAGGCTGGTGTGTCCTCATTCTGTTGGGCTGCAGCAAGGGTCTCTCCTGCCTCCTTCTTTATCTTCATTCTCATCCTTGACTCACCCTTTCACCCCTCTGCACCCATATCCTGCTACAGCTGGGGCTAACTACTAGTCTACTCCGGGCTAGCTTTAGTTCTCTTTCGTCTTCACCCAGCTCTCTTGTTTTTAAAAGTCAAGTCTCCTGTTTACCCTCTATCCACCTTCTTTTATATCTTTTTTTCCCATCCGCTGCAGGCTCAAGCCCATAATATTTCAGGTCCAGGGATGATTTCCCTTTCCAGTTGGTGGGACTCTCCCATTCAGGAATGTTGGCAGGTTGTACTCTGTGTGCTTCTCTCCAGAGCCAGTCGCATCCCATCTTGGGGCTAAAAGCTGCCTTTTCTGGCTCCTGGCCTTTTACACTTCTTTTATTTTAGCACAGCTGGACTTTTACCCACTGATGTTATCTAAAGGCTTCCTACTTCAGGTTTTTCAGATGGCCTAGGGGCTTTAAGAACAGCAGGGACTGTTTAAGTCCCATAAAGATTTCCCTTGAGCTACCCTGACCAGCCCAGACTTGAGCAGGGAGAGACAGCTCATTGCTACATGTATGGTGCATTCATACTGCCTACAGTTGCAGATACATGCAAAGGTGGTTCTCAAAGGCCCCTTGGCACTATGGTGGTAGGAATATGCTGCAGGAGGTGATGCTGTCAGGACTTGAAGATGTGGATTGTGCTGAGACTTGTCATCACTGTGGCAATTCCTCTGGGAGTAGATGAATGAAGCATATCTGTTCTGAGGAAGAAGTCTGGGAAAGGAGGTGGGATTTTGGGGCACATCTTTGTGTGTGTATATTTCCCTCTCTTCCTCACTCCTTTCCTTCTCTCTCAACATCCTTCTTACTAACCAGGCAGCATAATCATTGATCCATAGCTGAGAGCAAGGCTTATTCCCAAGATATGGATGCAGCCAGCCCCTTACACTGCTAGCTTCTTGAGTGATAATGCTGTCGTGGACCTGCGGTTCAGTGGCATACACGAATCAACCTAGTCTACCACGAGACTTAGGAGGGAGGAGAATCAGAGAAGGGAGGAAGAGGACATGTCTCATTCTCTCCTTTCCATGTCAAAGTGCCTCCTTGTTGCTGCTGTGTTGTTTCTATTGCTGCGGTTTGATGCACTGAGAAATTACAGAACAGTGAAATAAAAGCTGTGTTTTGTGATGCTTTTTTTCATAGGCTGGTCACCTCTGGCTGCATGGGACTTCCTCAGTCTTCATGGCCACCCACTGAAGGGGCAGTAGAGAACTGTGGGGCAAACCAGTTTTTGGGCTCTGCTACTATGGGTGGCATCCATCCTGGTGTGGTGAGACCTCAGGTCTTACCCACTCCCTAAGGCTGCAGGATCAGAGCACTGATCTTCTCCAGATCACCTGCATCAGTTGTGACTGTTCATCTGCATCAGACACAAGGCCTCCAGACACAGATTCCCTTGGGGAATCTCAGCACTGTTGGGGATTTGCACTTGACATCAAGAGTTGGAAGTATGTCAGTAAGTAAACAGAGAGTCCTTGATGACATCGTCTGCCATTGGAAATAAATGTTACACCACTGAAGCCATGCAGCTTGAACCAGGATAAGGACTGGACCTGTGTGGAACTTTATACCCTTGAATTCTCAGTTCTTATCATTAGTCAATAACTTAGCAATCTGTTGGCTGATTTCATTTAATCTTTTAAGGAGGTAAGAAGGGCTGAATTGAAACATAGTACTGGGATAAATGGAGGGGGATCAAACTTCCTTCTTACAAAAGAAATTCTGATGTAATTGTTTTTTTCTGTCAGCTAGCTAGTATGTATGTACAAGCCTCCCAGTCAGCACGCATGAAACTCTGAAATATGAAGGACTGTATTACATGGACCAAGGTTGGAAGACTTGGGAGGAAGCAAAGGTTTGGAAAGATTGTTTGGATGCTGAAAATTTGAAGGGCTGTTGCTGGGAAGGGCCTGGGATTTGTGAGAGTTTTGGGTGTTAGGGATATACCACATGCATTCAAGGAAAACAAGCCTTTTGTAGTTCTGCTGCTGGCAGAGGCAAACACCCAGCGTAAAGGAGTGTGGAAGAGCTTTTTTGGTCTGGAGCAGTTAGCTAACAGCTGTCCCCCAGCAGGGACAAGGAAAGCTGATTTTCAAAGGTAACACTCGTGCAGCATCAGAATAGGGTTATAACCCAGGTAGCCCAGGTGGCATACATTTGCTTAATGAGTGTATAAGGGAAGTCCCGGCTCTCTGAGATCACTTAACAAGCCTGGCACTTCTTAGATTCTGCCTTTCAGGGTTCAGTTTTAGTACCCTGTGCAGTCCAGCCCTTTGCTTTCTTTAACTCAGGCCACTTGTACTGCTGAGAACTAAGCACAGATTTTTTTCACATTTATTTCTCAGATAAATATGACATTAGTTCCCTCCAGCACGGATAGCTACTGCCACCCAGTACTTGTGCAGAGACTGGCTGTTTGTCCTGCCTTTGATGTGAGTCCTTCCCACCTGCCCCTCTGTTCTCTGTTTTACTTCGTGTTTACCCCTGTAAGCACCGTCCCTGAAGCTCTTTGTAGTCAAAGCAAGCAGAGAGGGGAAGTGAGGTGACTCGCTTGAAAGTCCTGGAGAGGCTTGTGGCAGAATGCCTGTCTCTGCAGCCCTGTTGTGGTATATTACCCTTCAAACCCCGCTGGGAAGTGCTCCTCCATTTATAGCACCATCTCTACTTGCTGGCAGTATCTCATTCTAGGGGCAGTGAGCAGTGCCCCCTCCCATGTGGGCACATGGCTTCACAGCACCCGGGCACCGCAGAAAGCATTTTCAGTTGGGTGAGAAGGCCTTTGGGTTGACAAAGAATGTGGGGGGGAAGGGGCAGCAGGAAAGGATCCCTGGACACAGAGAACAGAGCTCTAATCCTGTGGCAGATAACATCATGTCTGCAGGCTAGGCTTGTGTGTGTTTGGGGGAGCTGGAGGGGCAGAGATTGTTAGGCAGTATTTGTTTGTAAAGCCACTTGCTCTGAAGATAATGCTTGCACTAACTTCTATTGAGGGAGCAGTGTGAGTCCCCACAAAGTCCTTTCCCAAAGTGTCTTTGAAGCCAAGAACCCATTGAAAGGAAGAAAGGCCAAGAGAGGGGATTAGTTTGTTCAGCAGCTGTGAATTTCAGTGGGAGGCTGATGAACTCCAAAGTCTTTGTTGAGATGTTTTTTGTAAGGAGCCCTGCTGGAGGGAGAGACCCACACCGGGGCCGCGGCCTTAGACAAGAAGGAATCTGAAGCGGCGGGGAGCTGTAAACGGGCCACAAGGACTTTTCCCAAACACTTTTCGGAAAAGGTGTTGTAAAGAGATCGGAGGGGGATTAGCATGTGAAATGACACTTTCCATTGACTCCACTGAGGGGAGGGGAAAAGGGCTGGCTGGCTGATTTATTAGCATTTTGTTCCCTTCTCTATTCTGCTCCCCCAGCAGCCCCCCCTCCGCTGTCTCCCCTCCTCCCGAGCCCTCTAAAGAGGCTTGGATTGGAAAAGGGAGCGGGGGGCTGCCTGTTTGTGTGTCATCTGGGCGAAGGTGACCACCTGGGAAGCTGAATGTAAATATTTCTCCTCTGAGGAATGCGCCTTCATTAAACCGAAATGAATACATGGAAGCATCCAATCCTGCCCACAATGGCAGCGGGGCCTTTACCGCTGAGGGCTCCGTGCGCCGGGAGGGGGGACCCGCTGCTGAGGTCAGCACATTCTGCAGCTGCCGTGCCGCCGTTCCCCTGGCGGAAGCAGCGTGTGGCGGGGGGCTCACACCGAGAGGGGCTCACACCGAGGGGGCTCACACCGAAGTGCCCCACACGCCCCCTCCGCCAGCAGCCGCCGCCGCAGCCCCCGGGCCGTGTTCGGCCTTCACGGGCAGCAGTGTCAGCAGTGTGAGTGTGAGGAACAGGGACACGGCTTCTGCAGCTTTTCCAGCTGAATGTGCAGCGGGGAGAGCCATGGGAAAGGGAGGCCCATGCTCGAGCTTTTCCTGATGGTCGAGAGGCTCTTGCTTCCTCTTTCCTTTCCTGGCCAACCACAGGGACATAGAGGAACTGCTGGTGGAGATGCAACAGAGACCTTCGGCAGGGTCACTCTGCTAGTAAGAACCTCTGTGCAAATGATGGTGGTTTGTGTGTGAAATGGAAGTGTTTCAGTTTCCCCTGAGAATATGGGCCAAGATTTCTTGCCATTTTTGAACGACTAGATGATTGCTTGGCAGGAATGCTTTTGCTCTGGTGAGACCCTAGGTCCTAATTCCTGCTCCCTATGAGGTAGTCCTAGAATCAAGGGACTAATTGATAATGAAGAGACAAATACAGGCTGCCGAGTGTCTTTAATATATCAGCTATGTAATGGGCAACTGGGCCCTGCCTGCCCCCCTCCCACCCTATTTCCTGGCAGTTGCATTGCAGTTGGATGCATCCTCCAGCAAGCTCAGGAGAGAGCACATCCTTTCCCCTTGTGGTAGGGGCTGAGGTTGTGCTGGCTGGAACTGGTTCGGTCTTCCTGGGCTCAGATGAGTAAGCACTGTGTTTTAATCTCCAGGACTCTTAAATTGATACATACATACACAAAATGGGATGAAAGAATACCCAGCTACTTAGACACAACAGCATTTTGCAAGCACTTGGCTACTGATTTATTGCATTTGCTATTGTTTTACAAATATAAGCTACACGATGGCTCTAATGGCCAGTAACAGCTCTGCTGGCTTCTCGTCTGGCTAAAGGACACTTCAAACAGCAAAGTAAATGATATAATTGCAGCACAGGGGAAGATTGCTATGATGATGCAGTGAGCTTCCCCAAGTCCTGCAGCTGGCAGCTTCTTACCTCCCTCCCCTAGCCTCAGCAAGGGAACAGAGATACATCAACCAAATCTTCCTGCTGTTTGCTTAGCCTATAGAATATATACAAGAAGTGGTAGAGGAAAAACTGTTATGTATACATCACAGTAACTGTGCAATAAATTAAACTTCAAAGTGCTTCACTTTCCTATTTACACCACCATTAAATAGTAACTGACATTATTTTCTCGGACTAGGAAGAAGTATTTAGTTAGTTAGCTGACAGGGTAAGAGTGCTTGGCAAGTACACCAGGACACGGGGAGTAGACTCAGCTTGGCAGCTTCTCTCTGGGAGAGATTTGGGAGGAAGGAGGTAGTGGAGAAGTGTGAGAGCATCTTTATGGCATCAGTCAGGGGCTTTGATAGGAACGCAGGCCTAAAAAGAGAGACCAGACCTGGAGGCTTGGAAGACACAGAGAAAACATGTAAAAGCCAACTGTTGGGACCCCTTTTTTGACAGCTGTGTAATGGGCAGGTCAAGCAGCAGTTTCGATCTTGCTGCTGCCATTTCAAATGCAAAGTAAAGCACTGGAGAGCTTAGCAAAGCTGCAAAGGGTGGAAAGCAAAGCTGTGGGTTCCTGGAGGCTGGCTTGCTGAGAAAGGAATTGGATGCCTTTTCTGTTTCCTGATAATGTAGGCCTGAGGCAAATAACTGTTTTAGTACCTCTATTTTTTAAAAGCCTCTTCTCCTTTACGGGTTACTGATCTGAGTTGCTCGATTGTTGGTGCTATCTCAGTTTCCTTGTACCTTTTATCTCACTTACTCAAAAGCCCAGAGCATGTGCTTGTGTGGGGAACAGACAAGTTCAAAACCACAGGAGCCACCAAGACCTTCCTGTGTTTTCAGAGATAATGCCATAGTCACTGGGTAGAGTGACACTGAATTGAAGGGACCAAGTCTCACCTTGTTTTGTCAAACAAGGTCTCCCCAGAAGACATTACCCACTGCACTAATGCCCTGTACAGGCAAGGCCTGAGCACTCATACAAGACTCTTTTGCCTTGCCCAAGCCCCAGTGAGGCAGTAGTGGGAATGAGACAAAACTATGCCAAACAGAAGTGGTGCCAGGAGCTGATGGGAAGGGTAGGAGAGGAAGGAGAGGGGCAGACAGCACTGTGGAGGAGCAGAAGCAAGTTAGAGCTTTCTCTTGAGCTTGCGACTGGCTCTGCCACCTCCGCTGCGCTCCCGCTTCTCCTTGCGGACACAGAAGTACTTGGTGACCCGTTTGCGGCACTGCTCACAGCGCACAGCACAGCACCAGTGGAACTTGCAGTTGCAGCTGGACACCATCTCAGCTCGCCTCTCCTCCACCGCCAGCCCGCAGTCCCCGCACAGCCGCCGGCAGCTCCGCTTCTCCCACTTGCTGAGCGCCTTGCCCCTCTTCAGGCATTCCCTGCCCTCTGTGCCCAGTAGGCCCAGTGTCTTGTTCTCCAGGCAGTAGTCAGGAGAGTCTTCCAAATGGACCAGTTCCTTCTTGGAGATGGAACTGAAGGTCTCAGCAATGGCACCCCGGCTGGCAGCGCTGTTCCCTGCTCCCTGCAGCAAGTCCACCTTCAGGGCTTTGTGGTACCTCTCCTTGAGGTAAGTGCCCACCTCCCGAAACTCGGGTAACTGCAGCCAGCAGGTCTGGGTGGTGCAGCTCCCCGACACACCATGGCATTTGCAAGTCCGCTTCATGGTCCCTTTCACTGCCTACAGGGTGAGCAGAGAGAGAGGTTCAAGAAAAAAACCCCGGAGGGGCTGTATCTATACTGCAATGCATGCAGAAATATAGCTCCAGGCCTGGGGAGGAGTTTGGCATCAATTCTCCCTGCACAGTAGTCCTGAAGCTCACAGATTTGCTTTTCCACAGTGCTCCCCTCCTTGGAACTGGGAAAAAGAGGACTGTGGAAAGTCATTAACACTGTAACAGAGAAGCTTTGCTACCTTAGAGCAGATACCATTGTACTGCTGCCACCCCCCCCAAGAAGTTGTTTCTTCTGGACATGTGTTTTTAGCCACATCAAAGTGTGACTCTCCACAGTGAATGCTCGGAGACAATTTGGTATGCACTGTCAGCTCTGGAGGGAGAGAGGGGCTCACCTTTCTACCTGCCTCGTTGTTATGCAGGTTCATAGCAGCTCTGGCATCTTGTCCAGTCTCCAGGGCATCCACAAACTGCTTGGAAATAGCTTCCCCAAAGCCCACATTATCACTGCAGCCTCCCCACAGCCAGCCTTGTCCCCCTAAGAAAGGAGATGAGATGTGTGCTGTCAATGAACCAGAAGAGGATTCAGAAGTGATGGGAGGGAATGGAGGCTGTGGGGCAAATCCAGCCTTTCACCACACAGTACTCCCTGATTCCCTCCTGTTGAGTTCATGACATTTTTCCTTAGGCCTGGATAGTAAGTGGCTCAGGCAGGCAGCAAAGGAGTATGTCCTGTACAACAAATGCAGGGCTTTCTAGGCTTTCTGTAGAGCAGGATTTAGAAGCTATAGGTTATCATGCATTAGCAGACATGCAGATAAGCCTTTGGGTCTCTAATCACCTCTCAAACCCTGACTTCAGCTGGTTCAGTGAGACTTGCAGGGACAGCATCTTGCTAACTTCAATTAACAAACTGGTGGAGGCATCCTGTCAGAGGCAACAGATTCCCCTCTGCCTAGAACAGCCCAAGCCTGGCACATATGCATCAAGGAAGCCCTGGTTTTGCCACACCAGAATTCTGAGATGAGATTTGGCATCTTAGAAGGGTCTGATTTTCTACTTACCATCAAGAAATAAGGAAGTCAGTACAGAACTGTGAAATTACACAAAAATATGTGAAAGGTACTTTTCCTAATTGAGTGGGAGCTGAGTGGGACTGGATAAACATCATGCAGTTTTTTTCCTCCTGGAGAAAGATGCCAAATTATTAATGAAGGTTTGAAATCTGGAACATTCTGACCCTGACATGCCACACTGGTACCTCTTGGGAGTTGTGGTTTAATGGCCTTGTGCCTCTCTGAAAAGGCTTGGCCCTCGCCTGGACTTCCCCAGGGCATCATGATCCCCTCTCCCAGGGAAAGGCAGGAGTATTTCATGGCAGGTGGGTAATTGCAGTGGATGATGCAGTCCAAGTCAAGAAGTGGGACTGAAGGAAGTAGGAAAACCTTTCACCAGCTTGGATTCAGTTCAATGGCTGAATTGAATCACACTGTTTTCGTCAAGCCCAAAAGTTTCCTGTGCCTTACGAGGTTTTAAGTCCACAATGGAAAGTTTTTTATTAAAAACAGATATATTTGGGGGGGAAGAAATGTAGCATGACTAACTTGGTTTTCCAGAGAAGATAGAATTTGATGTGTTGTTGCCCAAAAGTCTTGCTCTGCTAGACACAGGCATTCCCAAACTTTAGACACCTAAGCATTAGTAGCTGCTTTCAAAACTATCAGCCAGTAAAGTAAATTACTAAATACTGGACACTCCAAAGGAGTTTGTCATAAAGTGACACATACTGACTGCCTGGTGTGGCTGGGTAGGGCATGGCTTTTAAAATATTTTGATCATTTGAAATTTGGCCTCTTTCTATTCAAAACAAAACCCCTAAATGTCAGTGTCTTCTGTGAACGCTGAGTGAAGAGCTGGATTGTTGCAGCCTGGAGTTGCCCACCAGGGGTGCTTGGTGGCTGAGGGCCTGGATACCACTGTCATGTGGAGGGTGTGATAGCTGTTTGCTGCCACAGTGATTCTTCTGGTTGTGCTCTTGTGTGCCTGCCATGCTGGCAAGTGCTAGGGAGGTTTATGAATAGCACCCTGCTTTTCTTCATGGTCATTCTGCTGTGGGGCCAACCTGGTCCTGCAGACCCTGGGAACCCTGGAGTCCCTGACCTGTGCTGCTATACCAAGATCTGTGCTGCTATACCTAGATCATTTAGGTGCATGGCAACAGATCCACTCCTCTGCATGTATGATATAGTTATTCTCTCCAGCAGCTTAGAGTTCTTGATTTGAATCAGGGAAACTGCTACCCCTTCTACTTTCCTACTCATTTAGAAAGTAAAGGAAAGCATCAAGAGCTTAGCTGGTATAAGTTGGAGGTGGCTCCATTAGCTTCCACAGATCTGCTTTGGTTTAAACCAGGGAAAGCTCTGCTCTGAGCATTGTTCCCAGCTGTGGAGACCAGAATGGAGAGGTGTTTCTGCAGGCCTCAGGAGGAGAGAAGAGCTTCTCCTGCCACCTGGGACAAGTGAGGGGCAGCAGCTCATGTCTCCTTCCTTACCCAGCTGTCCATTGCGGGAATCGTCACAGCCACAGTTGTCAAAATCCCCCAGGCTGCAGTTCCGGGTCAGTGTGTACATGACGCCCGCAGAGCTGATGGCGTGGACAAAGGCTGTTTCTCGGTTTGCTGTCAAGGGGGAATACAAAAAGAGAAGATGTGCAAAAGATTTCATGGCAAGGGCAGTGTTAGAAATTGTTCCTACCATACAGGAGTCTGCACAGGACATCTGCAGAGGGAAGATTTTGTGGGGTGGAGAAGGAGCCCTACATGTCAGATTAGCTTAGTTTGGGCTTGAATTGCATGAAGACAGAAGCTCCCAAATACGTTCCAGATTGACTCATGCCATTTGAAAGGGTGTGGATGAGATAGCACCTGGCTGTCCCTGTGGGAGCTCAACAGTGGTGATATAGCACAGACAGCCAATGTCCCCCACTTATCACTAACACACCCCCAACAGGAAGGGGTCCTATCCAAGTATCAAAGAGCTCCTTCCCCACAGTCCCCTCGAGCCTTACCTTCTGCTGAAAGGACTCTGGGCAGTAACCATACCTACCCACCAGGATCAGTCTGGGAATCATTAGCTGGCCTTTGGCTTTCATTTAATATCAGCAAGGTAATGATGAGCAGATAACCTTGACAGGAATGATTCAGGGACCTGCTTCTGGTCTCAGAGCGGGCCTTGTGCTGCAATTGACTCCTCAAGGCCTCGCTTTGACACCTTTGTCCATCTCTGCCTGGGGCTCTGGTTTCTTGTCTGCTGCCAGTCCCACCAGAGGCCTAAAGCTCTCCTCCACACCCAGGTCCTGCTTTTATAGAGCAGATATGAGCCCAGCCCAGCATCAAACATAGGTCTAGAGGGCCAGATATGCACTGAAATATTTCCTGGGACCTGCAAATAGGTAAGGAACAGGATACAGTGACAATGATCACAGCCCCATGCCCTACAGTGGCCCAGGTCAGGGATGATGGATTTCTGCCTAGGGTGATTCTGACATCTGGAAGATATAGGAAGACTTCTCCTGCCTCTTGGCTAGAACACAGCCACTGATGAACTCTTACCTGTTCCCTTTAGCCTTATCCTTTCTTCTTGCTACCCAGCCAGCCTGTGCTGGTTCTCAGCCTCCCTGGGATACCCTGGGACACCATCTAGGTGTGGTGTGTCCAGCAGGCCATGTGCAGGTCAGGGGGATGCATGCTTCTGGGGAGGCAGTTGTGTAAGGGTTGGTCCTGAGCCAGCTGGGGTTCAGCAGGTCCATGGGTAAGGCTGGCATTGCAGGGGGGCCTTGGAGCTAGATCCCAGAGTATCTGGGAGCTGATGGGTGAAGGGGTCTCCTAGGGAGATCCCTCCAGGGGATTCCTAGGAGATGCACTTCCCAGGTGGGAATGGGGAAGAAAAGGAGGCACTTGGGAAGAGAGGAGGAGGCCACGGGCTCTAACCTGTGGCAAGGGGGTCCCAGTAGTGGTATCCCATGCTTTCCTTACCACTGCGCAGCCCACCGTGGCTGGAGAGCTGCAGGGCCCTCTCCGGGCAGTTCCAGCGGTCCCAGGCGAACTGGAACTTGCACTCCTCGATGCCGCTCTGTGCCCCAGCCGCCACACTGCTGGAGTAGATGAGATAGGCCTAGGAGCAGAGCTAGGGGTCAGCACAGGGACCATGTATATTTTCAACGGAAAGTAACCTGTGTGTCATCTTACAAAAACAAGGCATACAGAGCTCAGAAGGTCTCCCAAGTTTGGCTTCCCCGGGAAGCTCACCAGCAGCAGCAGCAGGAAAATCATTTCTGCTGTGCTGGGTCACAGCCTGAGCCTCCTGGGGGAGAATGCTGAGCTCTTGGCTTTTAGCCACATTAGGAAATGTGTCAGCCAGCCTCTGCCATGAGGAAGCCCTTATCTCTCCACCATGAGAGGAAACAGAGTTTTCTGCTCAGATCAGGGAGCTCCAGGCCAGCACATGCCTCAACCTGTCTTCTTCTTCACCACAGCCCATGGGGGAGAGGTAGTGCCTTGGGGCAAGGTTGCTCCACCAGTGTATTGGGAGCTAGATGGGCCCAGAGGTGTTCCTGGGGAATAGCCAGAACAAAATCTGGGTAAATTTTATGCCTGGTCCTGGCTAAGAAAAAAAAGCCTCTGAAAGAGGAACACAAGGATGTGAGGGGTTAAGAAATATGAACAAAGTCCTGGCAATTCTAGTTGTGCTCCTTGAGGAAGTATGTTTTACAGGGCCTACAGAAAATACTTTCTGGCTGGATCAGTGTGGGCCCTGATGCCAACCTGATCCTCAGGAAGCAATAGATGTCAGGTGAGAGCCTTGGCTGGTGTCAATAGACAAATCTCCAGAATCTGGCCCCAATCAGCTTAAAAGAACCCCAGGTCAGCATTGTTCATGGCTCATGTAGCCCAAGGAGCTCACAAGTTGCAGCTCACAGCAAATCTTTCCTGGCCTTTCTCTGCCTTATTGCTGGAAACCTGGGGGTGAGGGGAGCTCTGGCCAAGGCTGGGTGGAGAGGATTGGGAAGGAGGAACCCCCCCTCTCTCTCTTTCTCCCCTTCCCTCCCTGGGTTTAGTGGAATCAGGGACAGAGATCAAAGGGATTTCTCTTACCTTGGGGCCCGTCATCAGGAAATTATTCACTGACCTGGAAGATAGAGACAGTGTCAGCAGGGAGGGGGTGATGGTGGAGGGGCCTGGGGAATGCCAGGCATCCCAGGGCTCTCCTCTCGCTCCCCCACAGTCTGCCTGTCTCCTGGCTGCAGGCACCTCTGGTCTCTTCCCCATGTCCCCTTGCTGCTCCCTAAGAGACAGGACAGTGCCATCCCCTTCCCCCCTCCCTGCTCCCCTCAGTCAGGCTGTACAGGGCTGTAGTTCCTTCACTGCTCCCTCCTTTTGCTTTCCTCTGCTCAGCTACCCTTTGTACCAATCCACCCATTATTTTGCTTTCTTGTTCCCTTAGCCTTGCTTTTTATCTCACTTGACTAAACTCAGGGTAGCATTTCTCCCAGCCTCAGGAATGGGACCATGCTGAGGGAAGAAGGGCATGGCACTGCTGCTCCTTTGCAATATGTGTCCAGATGCATCTCTCCACATCACAGTCCCTCGTTTTCATGTGGTGCCATGTCTGACTGCCCATACTCTCCTCTTGGTCAGGTTATGATGATGGCTGAGGACAAATATACATGTCCTTCCCATCCTCCTGGACATTGTGCAGGGGATCCTGGGGATTTGGAGTGGGTGGGAGGTCCTAGACAAAATTAAGCTTTCTGGTGTTCCCACTGAAGGTGTGGAGGGATCACCTCCAAGGGTCAGTGTGGCTTGTCTCCAACACTATCCAACACTAGAGCCTTGCAGAATTGACGCTGTCTGGTCTGTGTCTTTCTCCAGTAAGAATGACTGTTTCTGTGCAAATGGTCAGTCACCATTAGGACTCCATATGGTGGAGTGACCACCTGCAGAATCTGGAGAATGGCTAGGTGAATCCTGTTTAGCTGCATCATGGCAGAAAGGACTGACACTTTGAAAAAGCCCAAGAGCCAACTCCAAATATCCCAAGTCAGAAATGACATAAGAAAAGAGAGAGTTTCTTAAAAATACCTAATTCCACTCTCTCCAGTATGAAATAACACTCATCACTATTTCTGGTGAGTCTGTGGAGCATTTTCCCTGCTGGAATCCAGCACTTCAGAGAAATGGGTGAGTGCTTTTACCACCCAGAGAGGACACTGAGGCCAGAGAGGTGGAATGACTGGATTGAGACCTTGCAGTGAGTGAGTGATTTGGAATATGACAGAGCATCCACTGATAGAAACTTGGCTCTTCTGCTTCTTCTCAAGATTATGTTCTGCTTCAAATGAGCCACAAGTATTCCCTTGTAAGGGAGAGAAAGATACTGTCTTTTTGTGTTAAAAATCCAGCACAGACACTGTGCGGGCCTCCCAGGGTGGGCTCAAGCACAGGCAGAAGCAGGCACTTCTGTCCAAAGCTGAGGGTCAAAGTGCAGCCTTGCCATAGACACAGGGACGGACAAGGTGACAGGACTGGTGCCCAGACGTCAGACATGTGAGAGATTGAAAGAGGATGCTGTCCTGCCCTGGAAAACCACTTGTGCAGTTAGCAAGCTCATTTCACATCCACTAGAACTGCACCCACAGAGATCCTTTCCAAAGTACACCATAAAAGGAGGTCTCATTACTTTAGCTTGGTAAAAACTACAAGAAATGTGATCTTTTCTGTTACAGTTTAGAAAGAGTTTGTAACATTTCATTCTAGCAAGTCCAGCTTTCTTTTGTTTTGGTTTGTTTTTGTGTTTTTTTGTAGAAATGTGTTTATACTGATGAAACTTGCTTGGGGAAAGATTCCCCCGGGTCAAAACAGGAGTGGGCTGTACCAAGGCACTGGTACAGCGAGAGCAGGAGATTCTTTCCCTTTGTTACAGGCTTTGGATTCAGACCCAGCTGTGCTTCAGCCCCTATGGGTACTTTAGCATGAAGTCAATAGTTGTTTTTCAGAGGAATTTTCCTTTGGAAGCTGCTTCTGCATTGTACAGCTAATTAAATATTTCCTGGGACTTGGAGAGACAGCATCTGTAGCCGAGTGATTAGAGCATCGGGTGACCTGAATCACACAGGGCCATGAACCTGGGGCTAATCAGACTGTGTAAGCTCCATGGGTCCCCATCCTAACGCAACTGGGTAGCAGCATGAACAAGTCATTTTTCCATCTGGTTTCCCTTCTGTCCATTGCCTTGACCTTAAGTGCTTTGCTATGGGGACCACACTCAGGATGGTGTCAGTGTGAATTTGAGCCCCTGGTAGCAGCTGTGAGAAAACTCTGGTAAAATGCTCCTGCATAAGCAAGAGCTAGAAAATTGCAAGTCCTCTCTTATTTTGCTTTTGTCACCAAAACAAGAGATATATCCCATCTGCATTGCTTCCCATGTGAGTAGGAAAACCCAAATTCACAGTGTATAGGGGGGATTTGCCTCAAACTCTTGGATTAGGAACATCTGAGAAATTGCAAAGATGGCTTTAGGAGGAGGACGGTAATCCACAACATCAGAGTTTACAGCAAACCAGCCTGTTAACAGGAGTCAATTGACGTGACTGCATTGAAGCAGAGGATCTGTTCCTTCCAGGATGAACTTCAAGGTTCACAAAAAGGCCAAGTTCACGATATGCCAATTCTCCATCTGCAGCTGAGCAAATGATACAGTAGCAATTTCCCAGCAGGGTATTCGAAACAATATATAAAGTTAGAGAGACACAAGGCATTTTCCTTGAGCTCTCAGATCAACAGGCAGGCATGCTGCTGGCTGGGTTCGGAGGACTTAGACAAGTAAAGGATTTACAAAGTTTCAAGTGTTTGGTGCACTTGACACCCCAACATTTAACTCTTGCAACTTCAGGTGGCTTCAGGAGAAGGGGAGATGGGACCATCACATGGCTGGAGGCTGGCTGAAATTTTTCTTACTTGTGTAGAGGGGAGAGGAAAGATAATGGAGACAGAATCTATGTGCTTTGTCTTTGCTCTTATAATTTAGCTAAGAAAAATGCATCTTCATTCTGTATATAGTCTCCAGTAAGGACAGAGAGCAATTAAGCCACTACTTACATAAATGTAGTACAGTAGTGACAGTGTCTCTAGAATCATCTCTGTGCTGCAAATAGGAATCACTACAAAAATCTCTCTTCATTATTTTCTCTGTAGTGTGATTTTAAAAAACATATTATGTGTTTCTACTAAATTTTCATTCCATTGTAAAGGAAAGCAGAATGTAATACTAAACTTAACTAAGTATTACGAACTAGTTGCATTCATAGCTGGTATTAACCAGCCCAAATTCTATGACTTTGGTGATTTTTTGTATCACACACATGGGAAGAGACACTTGAAGTATTTTCTCTTTTCTGAGAAAGCTCAGGGAGTTTCTAGCTGTGTAAACCCCTTTCCCGCCATGTTCAAACTCCAGGACAGCATTACAGGGACTGAAGTGGAGCAGGATCATAGCTAAGCAGTAGAGGGGAGACCCCCGAGTTCCTCTGCCCCCTCCCCAGGCTGTGCAGGGCCCTCGTCAGAGCACACTGCTTCCCTCAGCACAACTCTGTCTCCATCCAGGTAAAAAGTAATCTAGGGTAAGTGATTTTCATTGGATCCAATATTAGAAAATTGTCTCAAAGCTAGTGAATATCATCAGCAGGAGTTTTCTATCATAGTTTTATTGAATCTGAAAGCAAAGAACTATGCCAAGCAGCTGTCCCATTATATTTTACTCATATCAAATACTAATAAACCTCTGATAATTCTGTCTTAGTTACAACTTAAACCAATAACATCACACTCCTCAGTTCAGCAGCACACTCCTCAGTTTAATATGCCCTAAGAGCCTTATCTAATCTCTCATTACGATATTTGTCTGTTGCCTTACCACCCACTCAGGCTTCTGTGCTGCTGGTTCTGCTCTTTAGAGAATGATAAAGCTGGATTTGCATCTTCACTGTCATTATTGTAAATAGAGAAAATAGATAGAATTTCCCTTTGGATCTGAGTTTTATTCTCAATATGAGCTCTCCGAGGTTATTAGAAAATCAGGGAGGCTGGAAACCAAAGGCAGTCCCACAGCTGAAGTGTAAAAAATACATTTAGAAGCAAACTACTGAGTTAGAGATCTTTATATTTTTCCCACAGGAGAGGAGAACTGGGCGGCAACTCAATAACATTTGGAGCTTTACTTCTTTTTTCTTCATTTTCCCCTATTTTGTTATATTTATTTTGAGGATTTTGTTCCTAAATGCAACCCTGACATTTTGATCACCTAGAAATAATACACTGGTTGAATGGTCTGTTAAATGGTAAAAGCTAATCCACACTCAAAGAAGGAAGTGGCCCCATATATATAAAACCCCATTTTTGTTGTTGTTCCATATTGCTTTCCCCCCCATGCTCCCACTCCCAATTCTTATGATTAAATCACAGGAAAAAAATAACATGTGGTTTAAGCCATTGGATCAGATAGAGAAAACCAGCACAAATTTCAAGCAGAATTATTTTATGATTCCCACAAATTTGTCATTTCTCAAGAGTTATGGGAGAGTGTCTGCAAAATGATAATTTCAAATAAAGGTTGCAATTTTCCTTTCCCTATGGAACTCATGACCTATGAGCAACATGCAGAGAGAAGCGGGGTTGTCTTGATCTATAAACTTTTCTCCTAGATAAAAACTGCTGAGAGACAGGGAATTTAAACATCCAACTTTAGACTGAAAATGTCTTGGATTTCCTTATTTAGCTCTACTTTGTGCACTGAAATGTCTCTCCTTTTCTCTCATTTGAACTGTTTCTTTAAAATGATGGGTTTTTTTCTTTTAACATATTCTAAACCTGTTTTTATTGAGGAAAGCAAGACACGTACACAGGAAGAGCAGAAAAATAACAATAAAATCAGCATGAGCTCTTGCCTAGCCTTTCTGTAGAACACACATATTCCCCTTGTTCCAGAAGGGAGGTTTATCTTGAGTTTATAGTATTTAGATATATACAAATTGTTGCATATTCTTTTAATGAAGGGAGTATAAAATCTCTGAAAGAACATGAATTTTACTTCCAGACTAACAGGAACGAGTTCCCATTTACTCTTTAGTTTCTCTTTTTTTAATTTTGATTTCTCCATCCATGGTAATAACCCTTGAGATCTGCTATGAGGAAGGCAGAGGATTTTAGTAATTGAATGGTAAAAGACTTTCCTTGCCTTTAGAGATAAGTCTGTAATCTGCTGAGCAGATTCCCCAGAGCATCACAGCAATTGAGAAAAACGCTTGGATACTTAGCAAAAATCACATAGGAAAAATACCTGCAGAGACCATTTCCTTTTGGGAATGGGACTGATACATCCCACAAGGAATGAGATTTGATGCAAGCATAATCTCTTTCTGTTCACCCTTAAAGAACTTTTTGGAAAATAAATATAACACCATCCTCAGGACAGAGGAAGAGGTCCACAGGAGATAGCCACAGAATTGTGCACAGCAGAACTGGTCTGATGGGACTCAGGTGGTTGGAAACCGAGCTGTAGCAATCACCGTAGCAAAAGCTTCTCCCCAGGAAATCCTAATACATGAATTTCAGACGTGTAATTCTGACCCTGTGTGTGCCAAGGAGCTTGGCTCTCAGGCTGCTCATCCAGAGTGACAATCCTGTGGATCTAACTCACCCCTGCGGGCTCTGAGCTCTTAATCACGGACTGTCCTCTTTGGGGAGCATGACAGAAGCCCCACTTGATTTAATTAAGACAAGAGACAAACTGACTGGGAGCCTTTGGAAAAACAGAAGTCTCTGGTTCTTTTACTGGGTTATCTTCCCACTTGAAAGTGAGGGGCTAGGTCTCAGCTAGCTCTCACTCTCCTCTATTTTACCCCAGCTTACAATGTGGCCCCTAGTTATTTTTGGGAGGCACAGGGGAAAAGGAGGACTTTTATAGATCTAACCTCTCTGCCAATGAGTGTGTAGGGACTTGGTTAGATACCTGATTCCATTAAAGACAGAATTGAGCTAAATGAGAAAGAGGAGACATTTAGGAAGGTGAAGAAGAATTTCCTTAGGGTATCTGGGAAGAGCATCTGCCTGTGACACAGACTGAGATGCTCTTGATACTCACCAGGCATAGCAGGACTGGAAGAATGGAGTGAGGAAGAAGATGCCCAGATAAGGGTCCATGTGAAATATAAAATCCAAATAAAGAGGGAGAAAGGAGATCCTAAAAAAACTCCCAAACTTGGGTGCCCCCACCACCAGAGAAAAGGAAAAAAAAAAAAAAAAAGATGCACAACTAATTTAGGGAAGGGATGGAGTTATTTTCCACCCAGCAGTCCTGGTGTGATGAAGAAGCGGATGCCTCCTGAATCCCACCTTCTGCAAAGGATAACCAATCCTAAAGTAAGAGCTAAAGGGGGCTGGTGAAATGGAGCCGCAGAACTTCCTAAGAAGAGATTATCTACTTAATTAAAGATTTTTTTTTTCCCTAAGTCCTTCAGCCAATCAGGACTCAAGTGCCAGAGAGAGATTGAACTGATGAAAAGAACACCCCAGGTTCCTCGAAGACAAATGCACCACGAAAGGGATAAGAGGGAGGGAAAAGGGGGGGAAAAGAAAAAAAAAAAAAAGAAAGAAAAAAAAAGAGAGAGGGATAAAGAAAGAGACAGCAAATCCCTTAAAGTAATCACTAGATTCAATCTCCACCAGCACTGCCCTGGCTTTCCATTCCCGGGAAAGGCAACTGGAAGGGCTGCTTTTGAAGTGTCCTTTCCTCCTGCCATGGAGATTCTGCTGAGCTGGGGTGCAGTGGATGCTCTAGGGTGGGGGGATTGGGTTCAGGCTGTCTGCATCTGCTGCTTGGGTCACAGATACGTGATCGTTGTCTCTGCCTCAGTCTCCCCCAGAAGCCTATGGAAGACCAGGGCCAGTTCCTACCTCCATCTGCTTCTCCTTCATCATGGTGATCTGCTCTTTCTTCCCATGTCCTGTTTGCATCAGGCCATCCTCACCCCAGGAGAAAGGCCTCTGACTAAGCCTACCTATTCCCCCTTAACTTTTTGGTTTTGGCATTTCCTATAGAGCCCATGGGAGGGGATCTTTGGTTTGGAAGGGTTAGCAGTCTCTCACTAAAGGCTTATCCCAGGCCAACAGCTGCTGGAGCTACTTAGAAGTGCATCCAGCCACATGGGACTTCCCAGTTACTGTCACAGCACCCACTACAGATACCCCGACTGGCCCTAAACCAACATGACTAGTTGTATCACTATGCCCCAAAGCTATAGGAAGATCTTCTCCACACTATACAATTGAATTTTGTGCTGTGGACATGATCAGCCAAAACATGGGCTGAGACTAGTCCAACTCATTTCATCCATAGCACAGCTACCAAGCAGAAGTGCTGGAGCCAGGCAGGATTTGAAGAGGACTGGGACCCTGTGGCTGAGCCATCAGGCAGGGCTGGTGGGAGGCTGAACTTTGCTTAGGGATGCCTGAGGTGGACCAAATTCCCTCCTGGGTTGCACAGCCTCAGGAAAGGAAAACTGCCTGGCAGAGATTTGCTGTCTGATGGATTTGGGCCATCCCACACTAAGCTCAGTGGTGCTCAAGCCAGGGAACCCCAGCTAGGCACAGCATGTAGGACACTGCTGGCAAAACACTACCTTTGCCCAGAGTGCTGCCTGTCCAGCCAGAGCACCCCTCACCCCAAGGGTGGCTGGGTAGCTTGTGGACACCTAGAGGAGAAGAAAATGCAGGTGGCAGCAATTTATCCCAGGACAGCTGTGCCCCCAGCTGTGTCCTATTACAGCAAGACCGATGGTATTTGCACTCATTAAAGCCTCAGGTCTTGGAGCCCTGAGCATTTAAAAAAATGCGTTATGTATGCTGAGAAAAAGCTTGAGAATTTGTTTAGTAGAAGATAAAACTGCAAAAACTGAAAGGGAGGGAAATTAGTCCTTTATTCTTAAATTATTTTTTAAGAATGCTATTTTTAATTATTAGTTATATTGAAACAAAATTTCAATGCTGTAATGTTTAGAACAGTTCAATGGTTTTGGTGGTCTAATTCAAGTAGCAGAGGTAGCTGTGCTCCCCCTCCCAGGCTGTCCTGGACTCGGTATAGAGAGCAGCTGCAGAGGCTGATGCTGCCTCAGGGGAGCTGAGGGTTTGCCAAGGGGCTCATTCCCACTGGGACAGCACTGGTGAGAAGCAGGAGATGCCACCATCCTGCATTTGGCATCTATTTCTCATGGTAGAAAGGGGAAGAATTTTCCGTTGTTTCTTGTAAGTCTCCAACAGTCTGTTTCAGGATTCTTGAGCTGGAGTTTTCACATTTCTCATGTCCGGCAGCAACAGCATTTTGAAATCATGCAACACTTCAGACATTTCTTGACCAATTGGAAAGGAAAGACACCATTTGGTTTGCTGGTATGAGCTGTTTTTGTTACTCCAAGACAAATTAAGTAAGAAGATTACAAAAAGTAGGAAAAAAATAATAGTAGGTGGATCCAAAATAAACAGATGCAATTAACTGGTTTTTTTTAACTGTTGCAAGAGGCACCCAGGCCTTTCTCCAAGCTCACAGAAGCACCAGCAGCTTTGGAAATATCAGCCTCCTCTGCCAACATCTAATTCCAATTAAATGCAATACTCTACTGGAAACAAGCGTGTTTTTCAAACCAAAGAAGCTGGAGGCAAAGTCTGAAACAAAACTATCCCAAACATGTTTCAAAGTATTTAATTACAGTTCACAAAGGATATTTAAAAGATTCTATAAAGTACTATCTAAAGAAACGGGATGCAAAATTGTTTTATAATATTCCTCAAATTTTGTTATTATTACTGACAAAAGCTCTGCAAATTTACTAAATGGATGCAGAGAGAAGTAAAACACATTTTATGGCCAGAACTGGTACCTTACCCCAGTTGACCCGCTGGCCAATACAGATCTTTTCTGACCTTTGCACTGAGTACTGTAATGTGTGTTTGACTATTTGTTCATCTCCCAGAATGGCTTGAGGACAACAGCAAATAGAGAACCTGCCACCATCCGCAGAATTGCTTCCAGTTTATTAAAAATAAAATAAAATAAATATTTTTAAAAAAAATTTAAATCACCAAAATTTTAATATAATATGTCTAAGTTTAATTTCCAGAGTACAGAGAAAATGTGAACTATCCTAAAAGAACTTGTACAAGTAATCACAAAAGTCAGAGAAAAAGTGGAAAATAAGGCCTTTAACACTCCTCTGCCTTCTACCTCAGCAATTGATGGATATGAAAAAAACAGTTAAGAAATAGACATAATAATTCGAAGTCTGGCTCACTGATATCTCAAAAGTTTCTTTGTGTCAATGCAAAATGGCCAAAAGATATATTTGTTGAAACAAAATGGCCACTAAAAAAGGTCAAGAAATAATTCAACATTTCTTCTGTTAAAAGATATGTAAAAGGTATGAGATCAAAATAAAAGGAAATTAATCTTATCTAGGCAACACACATATTTCAAACCTGAAAGGGCTGAAATAGTCCCAGGAAGGTCCAGCTTCCAGTGCAGTAAGTGAATTGCAATTACTTTGACAGAATTTCAATTGCTTTGCCTTTTGGACCAACTAAATGCATCTTCAATAGTGCCTAAAGTCTGTCAAAATATCCATCAGCACCCCAAGAAGGTGTACGTGTTGCTCACGATCCTGTACTGAACATGCCACGTGCTATTCTGCTTCTTCAGTCAAGTGGCCCCAGAAACAAAGCCAAATAAAGGCGGGGGAAATGCAATAGCTTTCATGAGATGACTGACATGCAATGGAAGCAAACATGGAATTTTTATCATTTTGGCCCTGAAAAGGCAGGAAAGGTGCTGGTGTGCCCAGAAGCCTCTTGTTTATTTTTGTGTTTAGCTATATCAGTCCGAGATTGTGCCATTAAAGACAGTATTGACACACCAAAAGATGACAGCAGTGATGTGACCTCTTCGCTGTAAGCTTGATTTTGTAACCTAGCACTGTTCCCCCACGCTGTTCTCTGCCTGGGTGACGCACGCAGAGCAGCCTCCTGTGAGGTCTGCTTGTGCTTTACCAGCACTGAGAATATCCTCACATTTGTAGGTTCTCCATAGGGTTCATGCAGGGACAGCTCAGTGGATCCTTGTCCACTGCAGTGAACTGTGGGATGGGACACATCCATTACACATCATAGGAAGTGACTTCACCTGAGGAAGCAGATCTGAGGAACCCCAGAAAAATCTACTTGGGAGCTGCTTAAGCAAGTCCACTTCACAACATAGATTTTCTTTCCATTTCAGGCTCTCAATGCTCACTTCAGTATTATTATTATCAGGAATATTTGTAAACAAAAGTACATTTCGAACTGTAAGAATGAAGCATTAAAAAGACTGCCCAGTGCCGTGCTTCAAACTTCTTTAGCTGAAACTGTTCACAAGCTCTGCAAGAGCCCTAAATAATTCCAGCAGACTTACAACTGGATCTCCTTCACCCAAGTCAGTTTGTTCGGCCCTAGTGCAGAAAGACTGGCTGGTTTGGAGTCCCTTTTGTGAGGCTGACAGGAGGAGGTTTAGCTGAGGGATTTGTCCAACCCTTTGATTTTTCATCTCTGATTTGCTATGCAGTCTAATGAGCATGCAGCAGCATACGCAGCTATGGGTTACCCTGTAATTTGTCCCTGTGACGAGCCAGCCTGCCGTGTCAAAGCCGGCAGATGGTGCTCCCAGCTTGGCCTGCGGCTGGGCTGCGGCTCAGCACTCCTGTGGAAGAGCGTCCCTGCATTGCAGGAGTGCAGGGAAATGCTGCTCTGCTAGACATGGCCATGTCCAGCACAGACAACAGGCTCTGAACAGGATCCAAGCTTAAAAATTCTCCTTTCCTCCTCCCTATTTCTCCAGACCAAGTATCTTGAGGTCTCAGAGTAGGTAAAGTGCAAAGATGATTCTGATTGGTTGTGTCACAGCAGTGGTGTGGAGCTGCCGGTGGCTGTGCCCACATCTGGAGGTCAGCAGTGCCACAGTGCAACCACCACCCGTGTGCTGCAGCATGCTTCCCACAGCCAGCCACTGTGGCAGCCAATGAGACTCCTACCAACATCTGGCCTTAGCCCAGGGATGAGCAGATGCTCACCAGCTCCCGGCAGCAAGGTGGATGTAAGGCTGTCAGCAGTATGCACAGATCTGTATCCACACTTTCTCACTGGTGTGCCCCTTAAGAGGTGCTGGGACAAACCCCAAGGTCAGGGACAAGCAAATCTGGTTTAGCTCTTTGTTCTACAACAGCAATGAAAACTGCACTGGGTAAGTCTGGTCAGGTCCTTCCTCTTTGCCTACAACTAACTATCGTGACTAACCTTCTGCATTTATCCAGAATGAGTCAGACCTGTAAAATCACAAGACCAGCTTGAAAATAATACACAATGCAAGCTATTTGTGTCCAAATCTTTAATGTACTCTTGGGGCTTGTTTCCTCTGGAAATGGCAGAGCTGGGAACATGCTGTTCTCTCATAAAAAACGCAAACTGACAGTGCTGGGCTCCAGGCAATTGGACTTTCCAATGAACATCCAATGTCAAAAGGCTTGCCAGAAATTATGGGGGTAGTGAGACTGAGCAGGCATATAAGGCCTCTCTGTGTTGACCAAAACTTGCTGAGCGTGGGTCCTGGCTGTTTGCCTGAGAGATCTCACACGTTCAGTGTTGGTATACTAAAATACTGGATACTTTTTGCTCTGTCCTTGGCCAAGAACTCTTCTTTGTCCTTGCATTGCTATACTTGTTGCTACTCTTCACCTTGGGAGTGGCTGCATTTTAGTGGTGAACATCAGATCAGTCCATGGGGTGTGGTGGCTCCCAGTGAGCTGGAAGGAAAGCTGAATCACTTTCCCATAAAACCCAGGGTACAGGATCTGGCTCCAGCTTCAGTGTTCCCCAGTGTCATCTGCATTGACGAGGACTAT